TGCAGGCAAAATACTGTGTACATAATAAATAAATAAAAAAAACAAAAAAAACAAAAAAAAAAACAGGGTCTCAGCCGGGCGGTGGTGGCGCACGCCTTTAATCCCAGCACTCGGGAGGCAGAGCCAGGCGGATCTCTGTGAGTTCGAGGCCAGCCTGGGCTACCAAGTGAGTCCCAGGAAAGGCGCAAAGCTACACAGAGAAACCCTGTCTCGAAAACCCAAAAAAAAAAAAAAAAAAAAAACAAAAACAAAAAAAAACAAATATAGCTCTGGCTGGCACAGAACTCAGTTTCCAGAGGAAACTGGCCTGGAACTGTTTCTGCCTCTGCCTTCCGAGTACGGGCATTAAGGGGGTGTATATTATATTATATATATATCACTCGGTTGATTTTATATAAGAAAAGTGGCCGGGCGGTGGTGGCGCACGCCTTTAATCCCAGCACTCGGGAGGCAGAGCCAGGCGGATCTCTGTGAGTTCGAGGCCAGCCTGGTCTACAGAGCGAGATCCAGGAAAGGCGCAAAGCTGCACAGAGAAACCCTGTCTCGAAAAACCAAAAAAAAAAAAAGAAAAGAAAAGAAAGAGAAAAAGAAAAAGAAAAGAAAAGTGAAATGGGGTGCGAACAGTTTGAACAGAAAAAGCACAGGCCCTATGTCCTTCCTCTCCCTAGTTCTCAGGGGTGACCGTCCTGTCATGCCAGCATTGGGCCTGCCTAGACTATATAGAGTGGAAGGCAAACACTGAGAGACCTTGTCTCAAACCAAACCAAACAAACAAAAAAGGTAAACTAGAATGCCAACTTCACTGCACGTGTTCGAGAAAATGCAACCTGAACGGAGACGCCACCGCCATGGTTTTACCCACCGAGCATGCGCAAACGCACGCACGTCCCCCTCGACCAATCGGTGGCTACGTCGGACGTCGGGGCGGAGCTTCCGCCGACACATGCGCACGACCGGGCGGGGCTTCTTCCTTCTCGCTGAACGCCGCTAACATGGTGAGTGTGTCTGCCGAGCGCTCCGAGCACGGCTGTCCTGGCGCTCGTCCTCCGCTCCGGGCAGGCGAGCCGCGGCGTGGGGTGGCTCCGCGTGACCCAGGCCGCGCGCGGGGAGGCGGCGGGGCGCGGAATCCAGCCCCTGGGGAGCGCGGCTCGCGGTCGCGTGGAGGGCCCCGCCGGGCGCCTGGGCCACGCGTGCGCAGTGGCGGGGAGTTGCCGGGCCCGCGGCTCCGCGGAGGCGGCGCTGCTGCGGCCTCGGCCTTTTTAAAACTCAGGAAAAAGTGATCCGGAGAGTGGGTCAAACTCGATCAATGAGTTTATCACACGGACATTAAAGGGAGCGTAGAAGGCGGGAGAGTTTCGAGGATGGGTAAGAGCGAATCCGGGGAACTTGTATGGTGGGAAAGTGGCTACAGGATATTTTAGGCCGAGAAGAAAGGCTGGTTATTAAGTGCAGATCCGGCCTCTGGGTGGCTCTGAGCCTTATGTTGCCGGTAAGCTGCGGACTTGGAATCTTTAAAGCCAACCCCTTTTCTTCCTGTTTTAGGTGTTCAGGCGCTTCGTGGAGGTTGGCCGGGTGGCCTACGTGTCCTTTGGGCCTCATGCAGGAAAGCTGGTGGCGATTGTAGATGTTATTGACCAGAACAGGGTAGGTGTGAGAAAGTGTTTCACGACCTTTTATTTAATGTGGCAGTAAGTTGGACGGCATGGTAGATCGTCCTCGGGTGGGGTTCTTTAGGCTAAACCTTTACCTTTGAGGAAACACTGGACACAGGGGTCTGAAAGCACAGATTGGAGTTAGTTCATCTTAGATGACCCCTCACCAGATCAACTAGGAAGATGTTTTAGTCATCACCAAAGTGCAGGCGAGCTTAAATGAGGTAACTGTAAAAGGAGTTCAGAGGGGCTGGAGCTGAATCTCTGTTGGTAGAGTGCTTACTTGAGACCCTGGAGTTGATTCCCAGCCCTGAAGTTGTTAGGTGTGGTGGCTTCTGTAGTCTTAGCCTCTGGGAGGTGGAAGTAGGGGAACCAAGAGTTTGCCCTCAGCTTGGGCTACCTGTCTGAACAAAACACAACGAAGGTGGGACGTTGAGCTCACAGAAGGCGTGTTTGCTTTATTTGAATAGTAGTATACATTTAGTTCTGAAAAGGACAGGAAGTTTTATAGTTGGGGCCATTTTGACTTTGAGGTGCCCACCTGAGATCCTTGGTTTTGTATTCTAGGCTTTAGTGGATGGCCCTTGCACTCGGGTGAGGAGGCAGGCCATGCCTTTCAAGTGCATGCAGCTCACTGACTTCATCCTCAAGTTCCCACACAGGTAACACCCTGCTCTGTCTATTTTCCCTTTGAGAATATACAGACAATACAGAAGGTTTGGAACCAACTCAGAAAATGGAATCTACATTTAGCAAACAGACCTTAATTACTTAAAATCACCCAGTCATTTTACCATCATGGGAGTTGTCCATATTTGCTTTCTTTTCCTTTCCTCTGTTTTCACAAAGCTCAATGAGAATGCCTCCTCTTGTTCCCAGAGTCACTTTGCTGTGTTATTACTGCTGTTGGCAGAACAGAATCATACCTGTGGCTCCATTCATGCTGGGCAAGCACCACATTGGCCTTTGGTGTTTTTAATTTGTATGCTTTTGGTGTTAAGGTAGTTTTCCGCTGTGTATAGCCCAGACTTGGCAGTCTTCTGCCTTGGCCTCCCTTGGTGATGGAGGTAGTGTGTGCTACAATGCCCTGCCTGACAGTGCAGAAATCTTGCCAATGATTTGATGGACATGTGGTGTGCCGGTTACTAAGTATTTAACATAAGAAATGAAGGCAACAGAACTGGGTTTTTGGGGAGGGGGTGGAGGAATGTAAATTAGAACCCTGTCCTGCCTTGCTGTGTGGTTGGTGCACGGAAGCATCCTCTGTAGTGTGCCACCACAGTAGATCAGGTTTGGGAGACAAGTGCAGTTCAGGGTGGGGGTAGTTGCAGTCACCATACACTGGAGTGATTACAGGGGAGTCTAAGGGGTAACAGCAGTGATAGAGTTTTGGTGGGTAAGAAACTTGGCCAAGTTAATGTACACAATATAAACAGGTGTAAGGAGCAGCTTTTGTTCATTACAAAAAGACATGGTTTTATGCACATGTACTATGTAAGTAGTAAATGTGTTCAGAGGTGATTTTTCCTATCTTGGAAATTAATTTTTTTGGACGTTGTCTAGTGTGCCTATGTGTTATGAAGACAGCTAAAGTTGGGTGTGACAAGAGGGCAATGTTGTCCTTGGGTTTGTAGCTATGGAGCTGATTCATTAATATGTACGTGGACTTGCTCTTTATAGTGCCCGCCAGAAGTATGTACGAAAGGCTTGGGAGAAGGCAGATATCAATGCAAAATGGGCAGCCACAAGATGGGCCAAGAAGATTGATGCCAGAGAAAGGGTAATAGCATAAAGCTTTTGAGTTCTGGAGGGTCGGGTGCATGCTGATGAATGACAGGAGAGATCATCTTTTTTTTTTTTTTTTTTTTAAACAGAAAGCCAAGATGACAGATTTTGATCGTTTCAAAGTCATGAAGGCAAAGAAAATGGTGAGTTTTTAGATGTATGTTTTGTGTTCTGTGTAGGGTATAAGGAGACAGTGGCCAGTCCGTGTTTGATGGTACTTTGTGCAGTTGAATTTCACAATTCCTGAAATTGTCAGTTGGGGCCAGCGAGAGACCTCAATGGGTAGAACTGCTCAGGGGAAGGGCGCTGGCCTATGACCTGGCTTTGAGTGTGGGGACTACACAGTGGAAGGAGAGAACTGGTCCACAGAATTGTCCTTACATCATGCACACACAATAAAGACTGTAAAATAGTATATTTAAATTTAGTTGTGTGGAAGAAGCATTTTAATTCTTTTCTAAACAATGGGCATAAAGCAAGTTGTGTGCATCCCTGCCCTGAATGCTCTCATTTGTTTATTCCCCCCAGAGGAACAGAATAATCAAGACTGAAGTGAAGAAACTTCAAAGAGCTGCTCTCCTGAAAGCTTCTCCCAAAAAAGCACCTGTTGCTAAGGCTGCCATTGCTGCAGCAGCAGCCGCAGCGGCAGCTGCTGCTAAAGTTCCGACCAAGAAGGCGACAGGACCAGGCAAGAAGGCTGCGGCCCAGAAGGCTACAGGCCAGAAGGCTGCCGGCCAGAAGGCAGCTCCTCCTGCTAAAGGTCAGAAGGCTCAGAAGACCCCAGCCCAGAAAGCACCTGCTTCAAAGGCAGCTGGCAAGAAAGCATGAAACTGCAAAGGAATAAAGGTTCTTTTTGACATGTTGGCAGATCTCGTGTGGACTCAAAGCTTGTTGCTGAGTGGATATTAGAAGACAGGTTGATGGGGTGTAAATAGGATCAGTTAAACTCACTCTACCCAGGCCTTAATAGTATACATCCACAGTCACACTGAACCTGTATGCACAGGTACCATGACAGAACAGTGTGGCTGTCCCTTGTACATATAAATTATTTCTCACAAACAGGTGGAATTCCATCACTTTGAGTCAGTCTAGTAAGATTCTTTAGAGCTAGTGGGGCTGGGCCATAGCTTAGTGGTAGAGTTCTTTTCCTATCTTGTTTTGGGGGGGGGTCTTTTCATTGCAGGATTTTGATAATTTTTTTACTGTAAAATAAGCTTGCATATTTCTAGGAAAGTTGCTGATTGGAGGGAAGCTTGATCATTGTAAAAGCAGGACATGGAATCTAGAAAAGCATCTGCAGAAAGTCATTTGTAAGAGAAGTGGATAGGTCATTTGTAGGATTATTTACAGCAGGCTGGGGGCTTTTCAGTCTGTTCTCCAGTGTTTATACCTAGGCAGAGTGGGGTACTGGAATACAAGTTGTAAATGACTTGGGGTAAGAGGGTAGTTCTGCCATTTTAAGCAGCTTTCGAGGGCTCTGGTTCCACTGCATGAGGTGGCAGATTCCCAGGGTATACCTAGAAAATGGTGCAATTTGGAGCAGTTTGAGTAGCCTTTTTTTTTTTTTTTTTTTTTTTTTTTTTATAAAAGCCTCACAGAGCTTTGTTTTGTTTTGTTTTTTTAAAGATTTACTTATTTATTATGTATACAGTGAGTGTTCGGCCTGCAGGCCAGAAGAGGGCACCAGATCTCATTGTTGATGGTTGTGAGCCATCATGTGGTTGCTGGGAGTTGAACTCAGGACCTCTGGAAGAGCAGCCAATGAGTGCTCTTAACCTCTGAGCCATCTCTCCAGCCCCTTGAGTAGCCTTTTAAGAAAGGGGCATGAGCCTGGTGGTGGTGCACACCTTTATTTCCCAGTGCTCAGGCAGGCAGATCTCTTGGGTTTGAGGCCAGCCTGGTCTACAGAGTGAGTTTCAGGACAGTTTGTTTTCAAGATAGGGTTTCTCTGTGGAGCCGTGGATGTCTGGAACTTACCCTGTTTACTAGGCTGCCCTCAACTCAGAGATCAACCTGCCTCTCCTGGGATTAAAGGTGTGCATCACCACTGCCCACCTGAAACCCCATCTTGCAAAGCCAAAGGAAAGAAAAAGGGTATAAGCTAGACAGAGGCAGGAAGACCTCTCACGGGCCAGCCAGGGCTACACACTGAGACTTAGCATCCCAAAAAGGTAAGTAACAAGTGGAACTATGAGGTAGGCCATGTTATAAAAGCTGGCAGTTGGGTTTAGCCAGCTCTGATTGGCTTTCAGATGGGAAAGATCGTGAAGATGCTCCCGTCTAGGCACTTTGGAGTACACATTGGGGCTAGCTGCTAATCAGGACGGTTGATGGCCTAGAGAAAAGACGAGCTCAATCCATTGGATCCCATGAGTGTATGTGTCTCTAGGGTTGACGATTATGGGGAGAAAGGAGTTAGAACATGGATAGAAAGTAGAATTGAGATTAGTACTATGATTCTCCAGTCTCAGCCATCATGATTGCTCTGAGCACACCCCACGGAATTGAGTAGAAAAAACACAAATCTGACTGAAATGGTACCCTCTTCAGAGCATTGCAGGCGGGGAAGTATAGTGGGTAACTAACTCCATGGAGTTGCCTTAATAAATCCCCACTCTGTGAAGGGTTGTGGGAAAGTGGACAACACGGAACCGGAATCTCCAGCCGTGCCATTACTGGATTCCTGGTTCACACACTGAGGGCGTGGACGGGATGTGTATTGCTTTCAACTACCAAATGATTTGTTAGGAAGGAGCAGGTTGATTCCTGCACCAGAGCAGATACCTACGTATACTCAGGCTGGCTTCTCTGGCTGTTTGCAGGAGGGGCCAGTTCTTCACTGCATTGATCCTGGTGGCTAGGAATTTAGCACCTCAGACTGGGTTTAGTAGAGTAACCTGAGGTCAAGGCAGGTGGGATGAGTGGTCATGGAGAAGAGGTGCCTGGGAGCAAGCAGTTCCAAAAGCAGGTCTTTAGTGATTTGTTGTCAGGGGCATGAAGATTGGGTTGAGTATTAAGGATTCCTTAACCTTGGGACTGCAGTGGACCATCTAACTTCCAGAAAATGGGCTCACACTTGGTTTGCTTTTCTGGCTTCCAGCTTGAGCTCTAGCAGACATCTGCCTTAGCCTTCAGCATAGGCTCTCAACCACCACACATGCTTTTCCCTTGAACATAAAATAGTTTGCTTGAGGAAGGGTTTTGTGTAGCCTAGCCATGAACTCCTCATTCCTATCTAGGCCTTTGAAGGTCTGGCATTACAGTTGTATACCACCATGTCCAGTGAGAAATAAACTTTAATTTTCTGCTTTATAATTTCTAATGCTTTACCATTTTAAAGAAAGGTTTATTTTTTTATGCATATGAATGTTTTGCTTGTGTGTGTGTGTGTGTGTGTGTGTGTGTGTGTGTGTGTGTGTGTACCTCATTCCTTTCTGGTGTCCCTGGAAGCCAGAAAAGGGCGTTGGGTTTCCTGGAACAGGAGTTATAGATGGTTGTGAGCCACCATGTGGGTGCTGGAATTGAACGCTGGTCCTTTGCAAGAGCAGGTGCTACTAACTGCTGAGCCATTTCTCCAACCCCATCATTAAAATACTTTTTAAAATTACGTGTCTGGGGGTATGTGCTCATGAGTGCAGTGCCAGGCAGTCCAGAAGAGGGCGTCAGATTTGCGGGAGCTGAAGTGAGCCTTCTGAACGCAGGATCCTTTCCTGCCACATCAACTAAGAAACTGCACTGATGGTCTAATTTTTATTTGTAGAAGTGTGGGTTGTCCCCCCCCCCCCCCATGTTGCTATTTAAAATTGGTGCCAGAGAAATAGCTTGAGCGAATTTGTATAATTTATGTGCAGAGCCTCCTGCAAAGGTGTGCCACTTGCTGTCCCAGAGCGCATGCGCCCAGATGTCTCAACACCTACCCCTCAGACCTTCCCAGTGCACACGCTTCGGAGCCCGAGGGGCGTGTTAGCCCCTCTCAAGTGCGCACGCGCTCAGGCACACAGCAACCAGTCTACTCCGCCAGAACGTCGGGTGGTGGGGCCGCGGTACCACTGAGATGAGGCCTCCGGGCGGCCTAGAGGGGCCTGCGTGCGCTCGCGCTTCCGGGTTGGTGGTGTGGCGGGCTCTGGGGTGTAGAGGGTTCCGGCGAGTTGATCGTCAGTTTACTGCTGGAGGTAGTACCCGGTCACGGCGGGACCTTCTGTGCTCCCAGCCTGCCACAAGCGGACCGTCTTATGTGAGTTCCCCCGCGCCCCGGGGTGGAACTGGGCCCTGGGGGCGCTCCCAGAGCGCGGGGCGTCATTCCAGGGTTCCTTAAAGTCTCCCTGTGCTGTCAGACCCTCGTGCCCTGTGAGCGCACTGCAAACCCTGCAGAGTGCAGACCCGGTAGCCCTGCGTGGGAGACAGGAAGGCTCTTGGGTGGGGGTGTCACGGTGGGAATTATGGAGCCCGAGCATCACAGGCTTCAGTGAAACAGGGAAGGGTCCCTAGCACCCCTGCTGTTCTCTTGGCTTCTAAGGTCTCGCATATCCAAAGCCGGGAGACAGAGTGCAAGAAGCCAGGGACACCAGTCATGCTTCAAACCGCTTGGCCACAGGTGAGTTAGCTTCCTTTCTCCTCAGACTAGCTGTCAGTTATCCGAAAGCCTGAAGGGTTCCTTTGACCAGGCTGTATGTAGCCTATGTAAATATGTGATGGAGGAAATACGTAACGAGAGTGATAAGGCTCACATTGCAGATACTAGTGGAGGAAAGGATACCCACGCCTATACATCCCCGAGTGTGGAAGCTCAGATCGTGTCTGCAAACGAGAGTCACTTGCTGAAGTTGGAAGTTCTTCACTGAGCTGGTTGTGGTATCCGTCGCCAGGAGAGTATGCTGAAGAGGCGGAAACAGGAATGTCAGGAGTTGGGAGCCAGCCTGGGTTGCACCTTTGTGTTAGAGAGATGTTTAAGAGTACTCCCTGCTCTTCAGAGGAACAAGTTTGCTTCCAAAATCCCTGCTGGGCATTTCAGTCACCTGTAATGCCAGCCGTTTCCAGGCGAGCTGATGCCCTCTTCTGGTGTGTAGGAGTACTGCACGTGTATGACTGACCCCATCACACATCCATCCATAAAAAAACACAAAACCTTGTTGAAGAGTTGGCTTCATCCATTGTGGATGTGTCCTGAAGAGACCAATGTTCTCTGTGTGTGCGTTTTCTTTTAACTTTTCCCCCACACTTGTTTGTGTGTGTATACATGTGTGTGTGTGTGCCACAGAGGGTGTGTGGAGGTCAGATGACAACCTCCAGGAGTCAATTCTTGTACCATGTGGGTTCAAGGGATCGAACCTAGGTAGTCAAGCCTGGCAGCAAATACCTTTACCCACTGAGCCCTCTGGGGGAGGAGAGGGGCTCAGGAAGATGGAATTGGCTGGGAGCGAGGTTTGTTGTGACCTGTGGGTGCTCTCTACACTTTTTGGGTTTTTGTCATGCCGTGTTCACAGCTGAGGCTGCAATGAAGTCATTACAACATGTGGGAAAACCTTGGGCTTGTTACGTGTTTGATTTAATATTAACTTTTTGGTCACCGAATTCAGGAAACGTTTGCTGTTGCTGTTTTGTGACTCAGATTTAGTTGTGTGACACCATTGGGGTCAGACCCACAGTTACACAGCTGTTGTCCCAAGGAAGCAGAACACACATACTTTTTTGAAGAGAGTCGGTTTTCTCGCAAGGCAGGAAAATGCCGTTTGCAAAGCACTGGCTTTTCTGATGTCTTTTGCGCTCCACAGTGGTGGGTCTGGGGAATCCGAAAAGAAGCTAGGGGACAAACAAATGAGGCTGAGTTCCTGCATGGTAGTGGGTGGAGTCAGGGTAGTGATAGCCAACTGTAATCAATCCTGTAGAAGGACAGCGGCAGCTTTGGTCACAGGGCATGAACAGATCAAGGTGGTACTGATCAGGAAGCTTACTTCCTGCTGGCTGGTTTCCTTGGTACCAGAAGGTACTATGTAGGATGCTTGGGGTAGGGGGTGTGGTCATCAACAGTCTTACCCAGTTGTGAGCTACAGTAATGATCAGCATGGCAAGATATGCCCATGTCTGCAACAGTGGTGTGATGTTATGGGGGGCTTTCTGATTGGCTGTAAGGGTTGCTCCACAGGAGGAAACACATGCCTAGTACCACATACCTGGCCACAGACCCAGGGGATGAACCTCACCAGAGAGTGAAACTGCCCTCTAAATGTATATATCTCTGCCCACAGATTAGTGCAGCACTCAGACTGTATCTGAGGAAGCACTTTGTGAGGTAGTGGTGGTGAGTGCAGGAGTTCACAACTGGTCAAAGCTCAGCTTTGGGACATCCAGCTCACACTCAGGATTCAGGGACCATCATGGAAGATGTGGAAAGATTGTAAGAACCAGAGGTCAGGGGGAACCAGGGTGAAACCCTCTTTTGGACATGACAGGGCCACCTTAGTGGTGAACCCGTGACAGCTTTAGTGACCCACACAAGACCTGCACAAGATCTCCAGCCAATCAGCCATCTAGCATGGAGGAGGGAGACGCTCATGAGCTCCCTGACCCCTAGCTGAGGACCTATGAACAGATGGTGCTTTCTGGGGGAGGGAGTATCAGTTTCTTCAAGGGTGTGGCCCCGATAATCAACCACACCGTGAACTCATGAGCAGCACAGATCTGACTTGGAGGGAAATACACAAACATGATAGGACATTGGGTTGAGGTAGGGGTGAGGAGTGGGTCTAGGAGGAGTTAGGGGAGGATTGAGGAGGGAATATGGTCAAAATACATGGTATGCATTGCTGGTGGCCATGTCAGGAGCAGCAGATGGCAGTTGACTTCAGGGTGCCAGCCCACTAGGGGGTGAATCCCTGATGGGTGAATCTCAGATATGCAAGGCCCCGAGACCACAGACTCCAGAATGCCTTTTGCTTCTGCTGTGCCTTTTCTCTGGAATCTGGTATGGTGTGAATGGGTGTGGGGAGATCCCCACTGCCTTTAATGGAACTTGTTTATCTCATGGAAACATCTCATTCTACTGGGACTTTTTACCCGTGGATTATTATGAAGATTATTTCTTCCTAAGCTATACTGTCTAATTAATAATAATGTTAGTTTAAATAGAGTTTTGATAATTAAAAATAAAACAAGGAAGTGTCACACAGCTAGAACATATGAGTTTCTACTGAGGAGGAGCCATACAGACTGTGGCTTAGGTTAATGATTAAGAAAAACAATTGAGTTCCAGTAGTCCAGCTAGCCTAAATTCTTTTAATCTTAATGTTGGGTGTTCACAGGTTTCAGAGTGCACCATAGCTGAAACAAAGCTTTGAAAATAACCTAAAGTTAAACTAAGATGTTTTTGTTAAATAGCTGTGAGGTGAAAAACCCAAGAAGACAATCTAAAGTTTTAGAAAGGCGTGTAGTTGAGTGTGGGACTCTTTTTCCAAAACAGGGTTTCTCCATGTATTTTTGGTGCCTGTCCTAGATCTCGCTCTGTAGACCAGGCTGGCCTTGAACTCACAAAGATCTGCCTGGCTCTGCCTCCTGAGTGCTGGGATTAAAGGCGTCGGCCACTACCGCCCTGTGAGTGAGGAACTCATTAAGATCAGGGAACAAGAACAAAGCAGCCTGATTATCATTAGCTGATATGCCTTTCTTGCTAGGATTTGTTGGTGATCAAAGATGATGATTAATTCCTTATACCCATTTCTGCCCTCAATTTCCTGATATAAAAAATTGTTGATGAGTGGTATGCACCCTAAAGACTTAAAGTAGAACTGATTGATTGTTTTTCATGTATAAAAATTTAGGTTTGTGATTCCTTTAAGATTCCTTATAAGATTACCTTTCAAGACACGTAATAAAGTGATTGGTCCTTTCTTTATAACTGCAAAACACAGCCTGCCAGTAAAAGAATATCTTGCTTGCTTACACACTGTTAATCTGTAACAAGTTGCTTGGGTATGAATATACATGAGTTCTTGGGATAATTTGTTTTTCACCTGTAATGCATAAAATGTTTAATCATGTAAGGGGTATGGAAAACATGCTGTTTTTTTTACTGTTTGTCTTGTATTCATTGTAATCATTCACTTGAAAACCAGAATGTAGCCACATTGTAATTTCTATATTGCCTGAAAGAGTTTGCTGAGGTGTATAAGGTGTCATAAAGATAGAGTTAAAATGAGTTAAAGAAAAACATCAATAACAAGAGACAAGGAAAATATCAAGAATGATAGACTATCCGGTGCTGGTGGCGCACGCCTTTAATCCCAGCACTCGGGAAGCAGAGCCAGGTGGATCTCTGTGAGTTCAAGGCCAGCCTGGGCTACATTGTGAGTTCCAGGACAGCCAGGGCTACACAGAGAAGTCCTGCCTTGAAAAACCAAAAGAAAAAAGAAAAGAGAGAGAGAGAGAATAAGGAAGAATACATATAGAGTTAGAAGGAAAACATCAAGAATGAGAGAAGGAAATCACCAGGAAAATAAAGAATAGAAAATGCAAAAGAATAAAGAAAAGGTCTGAAGGAAACCATCAAGAGAGTGTGTCTTTTTCCCTAACCCCTTCAGATTAAAAAAAAGTCATAGTAAATGCCAACTCTGTGGATTCCCTTTGAGCCCTGAGCTGCTGGAGACTGGTCCTCTAGCAACAAAAATGCATGTATGAAATTCTCAAAGTATTAATAAAAAATTTATTTTACATAAGAAACACCAGGTAGCTGGGCGGTGGTGGCACACACCCTTATTCCCAGCACTCAGGAGGCAAAGCCAGGCGGATCTCTGTGAGTTCAAGGCCAGCCTGGTCTACAGAGTGAGTTCCAGGACAGGCACCAAAACTACACAGAGAAACCCTGTCTCAAAAACAAACAAAACAAAACAAAACAAAAAGCCAAAAATAAAACAAACAAAAAACAAAAAAGCAAAAAAAAAAAAAAGACAGACAGACAGACCAGCTAACAGACGGGAGTTCACCAGGATGGTAGTTCCTTGGGGGTCCATCTGTAAATCCAGAAATATATTCCTTCTGGTTGCTGTGGTCACCAGGAAGAGAGCACCCCTGGATATTAGACTGTGGGTTGGGATAGCAGTGAAGACCCCAGATTGTGTAGATGACGCATTTGAAAGTGGGAACATTGGTGCATGGGCTCCTGGCTGTGGTGCTGGCTGCTCTTCCATGAGGCCTCCTCAGAGCCCTCTTGCCCTCACTCAAGCTTGACCGGGAGTTTGCTGTTTCAGGAGTTGGTGACCTTTGAGGATGTGGCTGTGTACTTTACACAGAGCCAGTGGGACAGCCTGCAGCCTGCGCAGAGGGCGTTGTACAGGGATGTGATGCTGGAGAACTATGCCCATGTGGCTTCTCTGGGTAAGACCTTGTCAGAGCCCAGGTGCCTCCTCAGGGAGTCTGGGAATTCTCAGGTCCTGAGGTTGGACAGCTGTAGTAAGGACTTAGATCCCAACCTGGTGAGGTAGTTAGGTTGATGGGCATCTCTGGTAACCTTGGTTTTCTACCTGGACACCCTCTTACTCCAGGTGAGAGTGTGGCTCAGTTACTTGAGGGCTGGGAGCCTTCTTGGCACCCCAAGGAGTCCTCTGTCTAGCTTTCCACCTGGGGTAGAGAATTGGTGTCCACAATCCCCTATTGTGGATGGGCTCTCCCAGGGAAGCAGCACCAGCATCCTTCCTGAGGGTGCTTCCTCTCTTGAGGCCCAGGCCCAGGTCATTGCTCTTTCCCGAGACAAGTCATATTCCTCTGGCTGTATTATAGAGCCCAGGTTAGACTCCTCTGTGCTGCTCTGTCATCTGGAGTCACTTCTCCCAATCAAGCCCGAACGGAGGTGGGCTGATAGAGGTCTCGGGAACCCATTGAGACGGCCAGTCTGTCCTCAACCTATCTTTCCTCCTTTGCTTCTGTAGTTGAATGTCCAGCTCCCAAACCCATTCTCATCTCCCAGCTGGAGAGAGGAGAAGCGCCCTGGGCCACAGATCCCTGGGCCTCAGAGTGCCTAAGAGGCTGCAGTCCTGGTAAGTCCTAGATGCTCTATGGAAAATGGTTTCTGTTGCTCTAGTGAGGGGAGTGCCTAGTGAGCCCAGGTCTGACCTGAGCATGGAGGAGCAGCCCAAGCTGTGTGCAGCTCCTGTAGCCGATCCCTGGCACAGGGTTCAAAGGCAGCCGTCTAGGAACTCCCACGCAATTTTGTTTTCTTTTAAAGATTTATTTATTTATTTATTATGTACACAGAAGAGGGCGCCAGATCTCATTGCAGATGGTTGAGAGCCACTTTGTGGTTGCTGGGAATTGAACTCAGGACCTCTGGAAGAGCAGTTGGTGCTCTTAACCTCTGAGCCATCTCTCCAGCCCACAGTTTTGTTTCCATCCGCCACTTAGAGTTCCTTGTGCCTTCATGAAGCATGGCAAAGACATGGAATTCAGCGGTGTTAAAGGAGGCGTTACCTGGTGAGCCAAACTGATTTTTGCCACAGGTGAGGGTTTCACATTTAAGCCGTCAGCGGTGGAAGAGTGGCCTTGTTTTTAAACTTCCACTTGCTGTGCTCTTTAGATTTGCGTTGTATTCATCACAGATGGGACAACAGAGCACAGGCTGGGCGTGTCCTCCCCCCATAACCGCCCACACAGCACCTCACTTCCCGGCTCCCCTAGACCTCCCAGCCTGGATTTCCCTGCTTGAAAACTGGAGTTCCAGCTCTGCTCCCAGTGCATGTTGGGATTTTGTATGCCCAGCTCCCTTGTCAGGGATTCCACAGACTCACAGCTGGCAGGTCAGCTTGTATTCAGCCGCCTTTCCAAGAGAAATCACTTTTCTCCCAAAGCAGTATGTAGGCTTTTGAAGACAAGATTACTTGGTGTCACTTAGAATTTCCTTCATTTGGAGAGTATCTGGTCTATTGGCGCTGGGAGTTGTATTTCTCTACCTGAGGCCTCCTAGAACGATGACCTGCCCCTGCTTTTCCCAGTCCCTTATTTCTTCCTGCTCTTCTGGGCCTTGGTCTCCATCCAGCTTTTCTGTCTATTCAGGTGGTTTGTGTGCTTATGGTGACCCCTCTTCCCCCTCTGCCCCCCATTGCCTGCTTCCCTTCCCATTTTCCTTGCCATAGCTCCCTTTCCGTGCCTTCTGTGGGGGCAGATCCTGGCCACCCTGTCCTGGTTGCTTCTAGTGTTTCCTCCTTTGTTTATCAGTAAGGTTTACTGTCTCTCATCCTCTCTCTCTCTTTTAATTTCTAAAAATTTATTTTCATTTGTTGTGTGTATGTGTGTGTGTGTTAAGTACATACCACATGCTGGGGTGATGGCAGAGTCCAGTTATGAGCTACCTGACGTGGGTGCTGGGAACTGAACTTAGGTTCTCTGGAGGAACCGCAGGTGCTTTTAACCGCGGGTCCATCTCTCCAGCCCCTCATTCTTTTCTGTCGGATCTTGTGGCCATTTCAAAGGTGTGTCCCTCAAAATCACCCAGGGAGATTATTTACGAGTCCTGCTTTCTTCCTGGACACTGGCTAAGGACTACCATTCTTGTGCTTGAATTGGTTAGATGCTGAGTCTTGGACCAAGGACGAAGAGCCCTCTTTGAAGCAGGAAGCCTCTGGAGAGAGAGCAGCCTGCAGAGTGCCCAGGGGGAGGGTGCTCAGAACGGATGCTCAGCACTGTGCCGGTGAGGACAGCAGGACAGGGAGGCAGATGTTCAGTTCCAAACCAAAGCTGGCCCATCGAGGAGGCATGAAGTGCTATGAATGCAGAGAATGTGGGAAGATCTTCAGGTTCAACTCCAAGCTGCGTCGCCACCAGATGAGTCACACTGGGGAAAAGCCCTTCAAATGTAAAGAGTGCGGCAAAGCATTCAAGTTCAGCTATGAATGCGTCATCCACGAGAAGAATCACCTTGGCGAGGGGCCCTATGAATGTAAGCAGTGTGGGAAATGTCTGAGTTCCAACAGATCCTTAACCCAGCACCAGATGGTCCACAGCAGAGAGAAGCCCTACGTCTGCCAGGAGTGCGGCAGGGCCTTCGGGAGGAGCTCATCCTTCTTCCAGCACCGGAGGCTGCACACGGGGGAGAGCCTCTTCCAGTGCCAGGAGTGCTGCAAAGTGTTTGGTTACAGGTCCCAGTTACTCATCCACCAGCGAGTCCACACAGGGGAGAAGCCCTACCAGTGCCTGCAGTGTGGCAAGGCCTTCTCGTACAAAGTGGCTTCCCTTCAGCACCAGACAGTGCACACTGGGGAGAAGCCGTATGCGTGCAAGGTGTGTGGGAAGGCTTTCAAGTGGTACAGGAGCTTTGCTCAGCATCGGAAACTGCACTCCGTGGAGACGAAGCCGACTCAGGGTGATCCAGCCTTAGCTCAGGCTCCTCCGCAGGAGCCCGGTGCCTCTCCTGCAGCTGTGCCTCTCCTGGCCTTTCCTCGAGCTGTGCTGATTCAGACTTCCAGCCCTTTGCTCATGCTGCTGCCAGCATCTGGAGGACCCTCCTCATCTGCCCAGATAACGCTCATCTTCCAGGGCCTTCCTTCCGCAGTGAAGACTTCCCCGGGTTGAATTCCTTCTCGGCCCTCTGCAGCTTCATCTTAGCACTTTCGTGGGTCCTTCCACCCGCAGCTGGTGCCACATAAGCTCATCTTGATGAATCCACTTGAGGACTGTGTGGGTAGAGAACAGAGCACTGGCCCCTGTACTCACAGCAATGGCTGGGTCTGCACTGTAGGTCTGTTGGGCTTAGAGAGCTGGCAGGTTGATTGGGAACCCCTGACTGGCCTGTTGTGATGAGAAGTAACCTGCCTGGGGGCCAGTGAGATGGCTTGTTACCAAGCCATATGGCCTGAGTTCCATTCCTTGGGGTCCACACAGTAGAAGGAGAGAACTGACTCTCTCAAGTTTTCCTTTAACCCTCCACATGGGCACCCTGGCACAAGTGCCACCTTACACACACACACACACACACACACACACACGAGGAAGAAGCATGCTAGGAGACATGTAACACATGCAGGAGTAGAGAATTGGAATGAGCGTCTGATAATGCATTTTAAAATTTAATACAGATTATTTTTTTCAAGTTTTCTCAGTTTTGTTTTTATGTGTGCACATGCATGTGAACGCAGGTGTCCTCAGAGGCCAGAAGTAGGGGTCAAGTCCCCACTTACAGGTAGTTGTAAACAGCCTGATATGGGTGCTGGCAACTGATATGGGGTCCAGGAAGAACAGCAGGTGCCTTTAGCTGCTGAGCTGTCTCTCCAGCCCCTGACTGCAGTCTTCAATACTGCAGTGGTGATGATGTGGGGGTGCAGGCATCGGTGATAGTGTGGGGGTGTGGGCATCAGTGATAGTGTGGGGGTGTGGGCATCAGTGATAGTGTGGGGGTGCGGGCATCAGTGATAGTGTGGGGGTGCAGGCATCGGTGATAGGGTGGGGGTGTGGGCATCGGTGATAGTGTGGGGGTGCAGGCATCGGTGATAGGGTGGGGGTGTGGGCATCGGTGATAGTGTGGGGGTGTGGGCATCGGTGATAGTGTGGGGGTGTGGGCATCGGTGATAGTGTGGGGGTGCGGGCATCGGTGATAGTGTGGGGGTGCGGGCATCGGTGATAGGGTGGGGGTGTGGGCATCAGTGATAGGGTGGGGGTGCGGGCATCAGTGATAGGGTGGGGGTGCGGGCATCGGTGATAGTGTGGGGGTGTGGGCATCGGTGATAGTGTGGGGGTGTGGGCATCGGTGATAGTGTGGGGGTGCGGGCATCGGTGATAGGGTGGGGGTGCGGGCATCAGTGATAGGGTGGGGGTGCGGGCATCAGTGATAGGGTGGGGGTGCGGGCATCGGTGATAGGGTGGGGGTGCGGGCATCGGTGATAGGGTGGGGGTGTGGGCATTGCTGGCCATGTGCTGCCTCTCAGAGGTTTTGAGGACCCCCTGCAGTGCAAGGGACAGTGAGAATTCAGGGGTGCATTAACGCCTGCCACAGCCATTGTGCGCAGTCCTGTCTTTACATACAAAGGAAGGCTTTTCCTTATGTCTAGCTGTTTCTCTCCAGCTTTTGTTTTCATAAATAAATATGCAGAAATGTCTCAGTCTTTATTGTCTCTGTTGTGTGAACTTAGAGAAAAACTGTTATGTAAAAATTATATAAGTGTTTGCGCATGTTCATATACATATATATGCACCTGTGTAGATGTGCATGGATATGTTGCACGTGTGTTAGAGGCCAAAGAACTGCCAACCTCGAGTGCCCTTGCCCACCTCTTTGGAGCCAGGGTCTCTGGCCTGGTGCTCACCACTTGACTGGATGGCTCTGAAGCCCCAGGTTCTTGCTTCTGCCTTCTCACCCTGGAATTACAAGCACAGGCTGCCACACCTGGCTCCCTTTGTTTGTTGATTATTTATTTATTTTGGCGGGCCCTGGAGATCAAACTCCCAGTGATCCTCATGTAAGGCAGGCAGGCACTTTACCAATGGAGCCGCCTCCCCACCCCTGGTTTTGTTGTGTGGGAGCGGGAGTTGTTACGCAGGAGTTTGGTGGAGAACTGGGGAGTGTGGGCAATAATACAAAGCCACGCTGGAATAAATCCAGCTGCTTGTGTGGAATATCAGTGAAGTGTGCCTTGAGTTCTGTGTGTTGGCCTTTAAGAGAAACCTGTACTACCGTGAACAGGGCCCAGGAAAGGGGCTGGTAAAAGAATGGCCATGTGTTTACCCCCTTTCATGACCTTCCTGGACATTGGTGGACCCGCCCCTTTGTTCTTTACGGTCATTCATATCTAGACACTTGTCAGAAGCAGCGGGTAAAGAAACCTTTATATCCACATTTAAACTTCAAGTTTCTGGTGTGCTTGCAAAAAAAGGAGAAAAAAGTAGTTTTCTGATGCAATTCCATAAATTCCTGATTTAGCGTGTTTGATGCTCCCAGGTACCCGCTTGGTGAAATGTGCCTGTGGGCTCCTGGGAAGCCATCTTGGTAAGGACATGGGCATGACCACTTGTAGTTTCTGTCTTGGCTTGTATCGCCTCCTGTGGAGCCTGCAGCTATCCCAGACCTGCCTGGAGCGCTTCAGACCTTTCATGGGCATGAGCAGTGTGCATGCAGCCTTATTGGCCACCGGAAACTTCAGCGCCTTCTCTGACGTCTGCTGTGCTCATCTTCCTGTAAATCTTTGGCTGACCTCTTTTCTGCTGGTGCTGTAGCTCAGGGCAGCTCTGGGGTTGAACTATGTTACTGACTGTTTTTGCCAATGCTTCCCTGCAGAATTAGATGGACAATATCCCCAGAATGGGAATTTTCCGAGATGTAACACAAGCAAGCTAGTGCTATGGGCGCCGGTGAGACGACTCAGTGGGTAAAGGAGCCTGCCGTCACTCTGACGGACCGAGTTTCACCCCGGGACCCACGTGGAGAAAAGAGAACCCCAGCTTCCGCAAGCAGTCCCCTACACACACACACACACACACACACACACACACACACACACACACACACACACACACGATACAACTAAAATGGCTGGGATGTGGTGGCGCATGCCTTTAGTCCCAGTACTCATGAGGCAGAGGCAGGCAGATCTCTGATAATAAATAAATCTAAATAAATAAGCTGTGATAAACTTCTTTAAAGAATAGGGGAAATGACTGAAATTTAATAACAATAGCATTTTTTTTTAAACGAATGCTCTGCGTGGAGTGGGAGGGGTAAATAGTGTGGGAGTCAGCCAGCTTAGACCTTGTCTCTGTAGAGAAGGACAGAATTTGGCATCATTTACAGCTCTGTTTTACCTTTGCCCAGATCTTGAGGAAATTACATTTCTAAGAAGAGTAAATGAAGCAGGGTGTCTTTCATTTCTGAACTGACAGCTGTCCTGTGGAAACAAAGATGATGTGAGTCATGATTTGTTCGGCTGGACACAGAGACAGTCTGATCTATCCCTCTGTGGACTCTGTGAGCAGCTGTTCCTTCTCTCTGTGCCCCAGACGCCAAAGTGGGCTGAGTCAGGAAGATTTTCTTAATGCAGCTTCAATGCATCAGCCCAGGAGGTCCAACCTTGATCCACTAGCACTGTTTTTTGTTTTTGTTTTTGTTTGTTTGTTATTAACCTCTACACAGGACAACGTAACCTGTGGTCTTTGACTTTTCCACTACTACTGTTAGCGAACTTAGGTTTTCTTCTCCTTATTGAATTGATGTTTTACATGTATATTGCAGAAGCGATACATGTCCTCTGTGGGTTATGTTTAATTTGCCTCTGTCCCCAGAGCTTGTGTCCAGTGTGTGTTAGGGCCACTGCCTTCTGGAGGGGTTACTGTGCAAGGAAAGAGTTCTTGTGAGAGTAAGTTCCTCTCTGTCCTGTGACTTCCTGCCTGATGCCATTTGCCCTGTTTTGTGTAACCAACGTGGCCTCCACCACAGGCCAGACCAGCAGCCTCCAGAACTATGAGTTAAATACTTCCCTCTCTCTTGGATTTTTTTTATTATAGCCCCAGAAACATTGATGGATACAGCATCTGTCTTAGTGTGTCTTATCTTAAGGCATATATTGTGAGTTTATTCCATCAGTGATGAGATGGATAGGGACCATTTGGTTAATGTGTTCTCCAAGTTTCTCTGTCTCAATTGTTTCATTTTGTAATTAATACCTGTGTGTGTGTGTGTGTGTGTGTGTGTGTGTGTGTGTGTGTGTGTGTCACACATGCCATGGTGCATATGTGGAGGTGAGAGGACAGCTTTGGGGGGTCAGTTCTCTTCTTATTCCTTTTTTGAGGTGGGGTCTCTCATGTTTCTGCACCTGCGCCATTTACATGAGGTGCATGGTTCTCTTGCCTCATGTCTTGCAGTAGGAGTGTAGGGTGACAGATGTGCATTGCTCTCTTGGCTTTTCACATGGCTGCTGGGGATTGAATTCCAGTCGTTCAGCTTGAGTGGCTGTTGCTTTTCTATGCTGCGCCAGCTTGCTGGGGCCAACAAGTGATTTTACAGGAGATGGTCTGGTAATATCCTGTTCTTCAAGTTTTCTCCAGTTCTTCCCTGCAGCCCCACCCTAATGTGTGAATGAAGATGATTCATATCTATCTGTACGTTAGTTGAAGCATGAGATAGACGCTGTGTCGAGTTTTATAGTTCTACTAAATTATTCTTGACAGCAAATAGCTGCAGGGTGCCAGCCGACTTCACACTATTTGCTCAGTAGACGGACTGACAGACCACCAGATGAACACCGCCCGTGTTTATAAGCTGAGCTACAAACAACACAAGAAACAGTCTGGAGCCTGGCAAGTTCTTGGTCACCGTGTCCTCCTGAGACTCCAGCGACCTTGGCTGCCACCATCCTCCAGGTTCCCTCTATTCGCCTCAGGATCTGGAAACCCCCCTTTCTCTGGTGAGCTGCTGAAAGCCCATTTTAAGTTAAAAAATTTTTTATTGGTGTGTGTGCATACACACTTGAGTGCATGTATGCTCACGTGCATGCAGTGCCCACTGGAGACCAGAAGAGGATGTCAGATCCCCTGGGGCTGGAGTTACAGGTAGTCATGAGCTGCTGCCTGGGACAGCCAGTGTTCTTAACCTCTGAGCCATCTCTCCAGCCCCTGCATAGGGAGCTTTTGAAGAGTTTTAACAGGAGAGGTGGCTATGAAGATGAGATGGACATCATTTCCCTCAGCCCAGGCAGTTCACACATGGCCGGCCCCTTGTAACAAGACCTAGGGAGGGCAATTCCCGAGCTCTCTTCCTTCCCGGTGAGGTGGGTAGTGGGTACCAAAGAGTATCTCACAAGGCTGGTTTGTTTGCTCTGAGCCTTCCTATCTCCCTTGGGACAGGGTCTCCTGTGGTTCAGGCTGCCCTTGAACTAGCTCTGTGGCCTCCAATTCCTGATCCTCCTGCCTCCACCCCCAGTGCTGAGATGACAGGCAGGTGCCACTACCCAGTTAATGCCAAGCTTCTTTGTTTGTCTGTCTGCTTGTTTCTTTTGGGACAGGATCTTGCCATGTTGATCTCAAACTTAGGGTGATCTTCCTGTCTCAGGCTCTCAGGTGCTGGCATGACAGGTCTATATCTAGCTACTTACAAATACCAATTAACTTTTTGGTTTTATTTTGTTTTGACACAAAGTCTCACCTAGCCCAGGCTATCCTCAAACTCACTATGTAGCAGAAGATGAGCTTGAATTCCTGATCTTCCTGCCTCTACCTCGGGTGCTGGAGTTACAGGTATGTTTCTGTGGTGCTAAGGATTGAACCCAGGGCTTCATGACTCCTAGGTGAGTTCTGTACTGACTGAGCCACATGTCCAGTCTGGTTTCCTTAGTCAGCTTTATAGATAATGTTTGTCCAAGGAGCCATGTATGTTTTTATTGCTGTGTAGTAATCCCGGATGTTATTTTGATGCAATTCTCAGAAAGTGTATAATTTCATTTATTAATATGTCTATAGGCTAGACGTGGTGTTTTGTACACCTTTAATCTCAGCACTTGAGAGGCAGAAGTAGGATCTCTGTGAGTTCAAGGCCAGCCTAGTCTACATAGTGAGTTCCAGGACAGCCAGGACTAGCTACATAGTGAAACCCTGTCCTAAATAAATAAATAGGTAACTCTAGGATAAGGAGTCTAAATAAATCCTTACCTTAATGCTGGTGGCCATGTCAGAGGAGCAGCAGATGGCAATTGACTTCAGGGGCTCGGCCACCAAGAAACAAAACCCTGATGGGTGAATCTCGGACAGGCAAGGCCCGCAGACCCCAGACCCCAGAGTGTCTCTTGCTTCTGCTGGGCCTTCATTTCTTTGCTGCTGCCGTCTTCCTCTGGTGTCTGGCACAGTGTGAATGGTGTGGGGGGAACCCCACTGCCCTTAATGCAATATGATCATCTCATGGAAACATCCTGCTCTACTGGGCATTTTTACCTGTGGATTATTATGAAGATGATTTCCTCCTAAGCTGTACTGTTTAATTGAAACAATGACTTAGTGTCAGTTTAAATAGAATTTTGATGATTGAGGATTTTTAATAAATATAGTAAGGGATTATGATAGAAGTTAATTTAATGGAAAATTAAAATAGGTAAAGGTAGGTTAAAATGTTGCCCCTGCCTCTGATAATGTAGAGGCTGTAGAGGATTAAAAATAAAACAAGTGTCACACAGCTAGAACACATGAGTTTCTATTGAGGAGCCATATAGACTGTGGCTTAGGTTAGTGATTAAGAAAAACAATTGAGTCCCAATAGCTCAACTAGCTTAAATTCTTTTATCTTAATGTTGGGAGATGTGTTCACAGGTTTCAGAGTGCATCATAGCTGAAACAAAGCTTTGAAAATAACTTAAAGTTAAACTAAGATGTTTTTGTTAAATAGCTGTGAGGTGAAAAACCCAAGAAGACAATTTAAAGTTTTAGAAAGGTACATAGTTGAGTGTGGGACTCATTAAGGTCAGGGAACAAGAACAAAGCAGCCCAACTATCATTAGCTGATGTATTTTCCTTGAGAGGATTGGTTGTTGATCAAAGATGATGATTAATTCCTTATACCCATTTCTGTCCTCAATCTGCTGATATAAAAAACTATTGATGAGTGGGTATGTACCCTAAAGATTTAAAGTAGAACTGATTGATTGTTTTCATGTATAAAAGTTTAGATTTGTGATTCCTTTAAGATTCCTTATAAGATTACCTTTCAAGATACGTAATAAAGTGATTGGTCCTTTCTTTATAACTGCAAAACACAGCCTGCCAGTAAAAGAATATCTTGCTTGCTTACACACTGTTAATCTGTAACAAGTTGCTTGGGTATGAATATACATGAGTTCTTGGGATAATTTGTTTTTCAGCTGTAATGCATAAAATGTTTAATCATGTAAGGGGTATGGAAAACATGCTGTTTTTTTTTTTTTTTTACTGTTTGTCTTGTATTCATTGTAATCATTCACTTGAAAACCAGAATGTAACCACATTGTGATTTTTATATTGCCTGAAAGATTTTGCTGAGGTGTATAAGCTGTGAGGGAAAGAATAAGATAGAGTTAAAATGAGTTAGAAGGAAACATCAAGAATGGGAGAACAAGGAAGAATAATGATAGAGTTAGAAGACAGCATCAGGAGAGACGAAGGGACATTTCTGGATAGAGATAAGAGAAGAGAACAGAGAACACAGAATGAAGAACACAGGAGACTAAAGAAGGAAACCATCAAGAGTGTGTGTCTTTTCCCCTAGCCCCCTCAGATAAAACAGTCACAGTGTGTGGACTCCATGGATTCCCTTTGAGCACTGCGCTGCTGGAGGCTGGTCCCCCAACCAGTGAAACCTTAAACTGGTTATGGTGACACACACCTATAATATCAGCACTCTGGAGATTGAGACAGGAGGATCATAACTTTGAGGCAAAACTGAGCTGCAGAATGAGTTCCAGGCTGTTCTAAGTTACATAGTACCAACAAACCAAAATTAAGACAAAAACAAAAATCTACCAACCCCAAATCCAAACAACAAACAAAACCTTCCAGCACAAGCGCCTACATTATCACACGCAGAACAGATCACTGCAGTCTGTTCTGAAGTCCAATGATTGGTGTGTTGGGGTAGAGGGCTGAAGCCTGGGGTGAATCAGGGTCAGTGGGATTTGGGGTGCTGGGAGGGCAGCTGGGAAGCAGAGGTGCCAGAAGCATGGAGGGCTGAACCACACAGCCCTCAGCTGGGGATTGATAAATGCATGTGGGATAGAGGAGGACAGCATCTGGAACCACAGATGGAAAACCAGTGGCTCGCATCCCTCCCGGCATTTTGATTTGGGGACTTGTGTCTCTGAACCATATACCGTAATAACTGTTTGTTCTCGTTAAGTGAATTTATTATGATTAAAGATTTGCCCAGCCATCTTTAAGACACACAGTGTCTTATTTGCTTATCAACTCCAAATAATTTGTTCTTTTTGTCTGGAAACAATTTTGTACAGACAGAGGCAAGGACTTTCTGAAAAGGACTTCATCAGCTCAGTAAACAATCACAAGGGTTGACAAATGAGAATTATGAAATCAAAAAGCTTCTACATGGAACATGGCTGTCAGGCATGGTGGCACACGCCTTTATTCCCAGCACTTGGGAGGCAGAGGCAGTGGAAATCTGTGAGTTTGAGGCCAGTCTAGTCTACAAAGCAAGTTCCAGGACAGCTAGGGCTGATATACAGAGAAATCCTGTCTTGAAGGAAAAAAAGCTACATGGCCTAGGAAACAAAAAGAAGAAACAAGTCCAAATCTCTCTCATTAATATGCAAACTCCTTTCTCTTTAATAAGTGGTAAAATGTATGTACACCACAGAATTGTTTTAAGATAAATTTATTTGTGATCTATTACCAGTCAGTATTTTATTTGTGTATCATTTTATAAGCCTATGTACCTGGTCACTAATGAGAAGTGTTGAAGAAGGCCTGACCTGTGCCACTCCCGGAGGACTCTACATCAGCGTCGCCCAGAGGTGCCTGCCTGCACAGCTGTGTTTACCACTGTGCTGTTCACAGTGCCCAGGATGTGGAGTTAGTCTCGATGCCCACCAATAGGATGGATGATTGCTATATGTGGTAAGTATACACAGTATTTATTATGTATTGTGTGTGTGTGCATTAGATATGGGCACCTGTGGTGTTCAGAGGACAGCGTGGGTGTCCTTGTTTCCCGCCGTGTGTAGACAGGACGGCTCTTGTTTTGGCTGCTGTGCCCTGTACTCTAAGTTAGCTGGTCCTTGAGCTTCCGGCTGACTCTCCTCGCTGGTCTCCATCTCACAATCGGAGTGCTGGCTTTTCAGATGCCACCAGGTCTCACTGTGTAGCCAGTGACTTTATGCAGACCAGGCTGGTCTCAAATGGGTTCTGAGGACAGAGCCAGTCTTCAGGCTGGCATGGCAGGTGCTTTTTGCCCACTGAATATCTACCAGGCTGCACAATGGAATGCTATTGAATCATAAAAATGAATGAAATCATTTGCAGGAAAGTGGACAGAATCGGAGTTCATCATGTTAAGTGCAACAAGCCAGGTCAGGGAGGTGGATACTTTGTGTTTATCAGCATACGAGAGACCTGGAATTAATATATCAGCCTGGGGAAACGGCTCAGTTGGTAAAATGCCTGCTGTACCAAACATGAGGACCTGAGTTCAGATCCCCATCATTCACGTAAAAAGCCAGTTGTAGTGGCTTTTAACCTCAGGACTATAACCCCAGTGCTAGGTTGGGGAAGGGCAGGGACAGGACCTGGTCTCTGAAAACTTATTGTGCAGCTGAATGCATAACCTCCAGGGTCAATGAGAGAGCCTACCAAAAATGAAGCTGGAAGGGCTGGAGAGATGGCTCAGTGCTTAAGAGAAGAGCATTACTGCTCTTGAGAAGACCTAAGTTTGGTTTCCAGCACCTACATTGGGCAGCTGATAACTGCCTCTAAGTCTGGCCCCAGAGCATTTAATGCCTCTGATCTCCATGGGCATCTGCATTCACATGTGCATACCCACATGTGCAGACACAGAATTAAAAATGTGGAGGGGCTGGAGAGACAGCTCAGCAGTTAAGAGCACTGGCCATTCTTCCAGAAGACCAGAGTTCAATTCCCAGGACCCACATGGTAGCTCACAGTTGTCTTTAACTCCGGTTCCAGGGAACCCAACCCTCATCCAGGCAAAACACCAAGGCACATTAAAAAAAAAAATGAAATAAAATAAAGTGGAGAGTAACAGAGGAAGACGCCCAAGGCTGACCTCTGGCTTCCACAGGCACATGTCCACATACCACACACACATGTACACACAATATATATACATACACATACACTAAAAACAATTTACCTATATGTATAGAGGGAAACAAAAATATTTTTTCCACACGTGTGTGTGTGTGTGTGTGTGTGTCTGGAAAACAGAAGGAAGAGGAACTCTGTGGGGAGGAACATGAATGACAGGAGTCAGGAGGGGAAAAGAGAGAACTGGGGAGAGCCAAATACCACACAAGTACCACAATGGACACCCACGAAGCTGTCATCGTGAGCTCTGTTGTTTTGGGCACTAAGATAAAACCTGAATCTTTCCTCACACACCTCTACCTTCCTTCTCTCAGAAGTTAATTCTCCCTAGAAGAGAACCTTGTTCATTAAAAAACTTTCCCTTTTTAAATTTTTTTTCCAACAGTGTATAGACAGAAGCCGGCAAGCAAATTGGCTGCAGCACGTTTCCTCGCTCTGGGCACGCACGCCCATGTGCGCTCCCCAGTGCCAGCCTCCATTTCTGCAGCCCACCTGCTATTAATAATAATAATAATAATAATAATAATAATAATAATAATAATCAGGAAAGCCTCATACTTTCAAATTACATTTATTTGTTTATTTACTCAGTTGTGTGTCCCTGCACATATTCTACAGTGCACATGCAGAGGACAGTTTGTGGGCCCAGGGGATTGAGCTCAGGCTGTCAGATTAGGATGCAAGCCCCGTTTTCTGCTGAGTCATCTCCATGGCCCACACCTCAAAGTTTCAAAGTCATCTTTGAGCAAAGTCTTCCTCCTAGGCCATCACCTTTGAATAATTTTCAGAAAGGGCTGTGAATCTCATTGCACAGTGTCACCCTGAATGTCCTGCATCCCTGACATTTCCCCTGTGCTATTGTGAGTGGCATCCTATCCCTGTCTCGACAGAAGTGAAAAACTTTAAATCAGAATTGTTCTGTCTGATGTGTGTACCAAATATTCCCCAAGCAAAGCAAAGGAACACAATCAAAACCTCAAACAGTTAAGTCCTCTATGGGGGCTGGAGAGATGTCTGAGTGATAAAGAGCACTGGCTGCCCTTGCAGAAGACCCAGGTTTGATTTCTGACACCCACCCAGCTCAGGAACCATTTGTAACTCTAGTTCCAGGGGATTCAACACCCTCTTCTGACCTCTGTGGGTACTGCATGCATGCAGTGTACAGAGCAAGGATGCTATGTTGTTTCTCTGGCTTCTTTAGCAGCCATCATGGACCCCTACAGTATTTGATGAACAACCCACCCTCTGGAGAGGACCACATGGCATGGAACTGGGTGGCCTTCAGTCACTACTAGAGAGAAACTGAATCCTAGCAACATCTCGAGGGTTTGGAAATGGTTCCTTCCCTAGCCGATCTTCAGTGAGCCCCTCACCCCATTCAGTGCCTGACGGAGATTGTTCTAACATTGTTTCTGTTTCAGTTATAAAGTGCCCTCTCAACAAGCAACTTAGGGGAGAAAGGGTTTAATTTCTGTTTACAATTCCAGATTACAGTCCATCATTGTGGAGAAGTCAAGGCAGGAACTTCAAACAGCTAGTCACAAAACATCCACATCCAAGAGCAGACAGAAGTGAGTGTTCACTTCAGGTTTCTGCTCTCAAACAGTCCAGGATCACCTGCCGAGGGAATGATGTCGCCCAAGAGGACTGGGTCTTTCCACATCACTTACCTCAGTTACAACAATCCCCCACAGACATACTCACAGACCAACTTATTTGGTCCCTGTTGATACCCTCCTCAAGTGGCTCTAGGTGTGTCTCGTGACTAAAGCTGGCCGCCACAGGGGTCTTCTGAGACATTCTGAAGCAGAGGCTTCAGCTGGGCTGCACTCAGTCTCTGCCCTGCGAGAACTGTGAAACAACAGGTGCTTAGCTTAGCTGTGCAGTGTGTGGTGATTGAACCGGTGGTCCAGCATGGACACGAGCCACGGGATTTCACCCCTCTTGGATAAAGGTCTAAGGGGGGGATGGTGGGATGGCATGGTGAGTATACCTTTACTGCTCCGTGACTGGACATATTCACACTCCCTTTGGGGGATGAGAGGCTTGCCCCGCTCCACCAGCCTGCGTTCCTGGTCTTTTTTTTTCAATAGAATATCTTTTATTTATTTTTTTAATAATTTTATACATGTAAACAATGTATCTTGACCATATACACCCCAACTTTCCTTTCCATTCCTCCACTCCCCCAGATACCCCAACACTTTCCCTCCACCCTCTCTCTTTCCACCTTCTCTCTCTGTCTCCCCGACCCCAGCCTATGGAGGCTAATTGGTGCTGCCCAGTGGAATGCTGACTGATCTTGTCGACTTGCTCTTATGTGGGTGACCACGACCAGAGTGAGTCTGTGAGGACAGTGGCCATGTCAAGTCCAGAGGACAGCCCTCCTCCCCATCCGCCCGCTCTTACATTGCATTTTTTTTTATCTCATTCACTTTCAATTTTATTTTATTTCGAGACAGGGTCTTACTGTGTGTCCTGTCTGGCCCAGAAATTGCTGTGTAGACCAGACTGGCCTGAGACAGAGATTTACCACACCTGACGGCTCCTTGGTTCTTCCTGCTTCCTCTTCCGGGGTTGCCGTAGGGCACCATTTAGGGCCGAGCACTCAGCAGTCCCCGTTCTCGGCACACTGACGGTTTGAGCCTCTGCGTTAACTGGTGACCACTGTGCACAGAAGCTTCTCCAAGGCTGAGGGAAGCACGGATCCAGGTATAAAACACTTCACAGGTAACCTGACATGGTGTTTAGTAAAACAACCGCAGTCAGTTCCCCTCCATAGCTCGTGACCTCCGGAGTCACCGACTGTTGACCAGGCTGCAATACCAGGCCTGGATTCCCTCCTGTGGAGCCTCAGATCCAATCAGAGAGTGGCTGACTACGCTGCTCCCAGTCTTTCTGACTTTCCCTCTGACTGCTGGAACTGTATCTCACGGTGGTTTTTAATTTGCATTCACTTGATGACTAATGAGGGATAAACCTGTTTGAACCAGTTGTACAACCTGTTCAGGTTTTTGTTTTGCTTCCAAGAGAATTACGTCTTTTTTGTTGGTTTAATTGTGTGTCCTTGTTACCCTTGTTATTTGAGAACTATAGATGAAAAGGCAGGATTCTTGTCTTGAGGGAAATCCAGAGAGTGATCAACAACATGTCGACATAGAATTACATGTGAAGTACAGAAGGGGTTGAGGACAGGGTGAATAGGGACTGATTGGTGCCTTCACTGCTCCAGTTACAGGTACTGCTGGCTGTAAGATAGGTGTGCAGAGATTCCATGCTTTTAACATTTATTTATTAATTACCTGCATATGTATGCTCTCTATGCATGGGTGTGCAGGTGCCTAAGGAGGCCAGAAGAGGGCGTCAGATCTCCTGGAGCTGGAATAGCAGGTGGTTGTGAGCTGCCAGTCACGGGTTCTGGGGACTGCTGAGCCGTCTCTCCAGCCCATGTGTATTTGTTCTAAGTGAAGACTGTGGCACTTACAGACGGTTAGTAGTCACAGTGGTTTGGGCAATGCTGGACTAACAGTCCGTATTCTGATGACTTAAAGCCTCCCCCATGAGTGTCTTACTCCCCTCTGCTCGCTCTCATTGGTCGAGAGGATGACTCCAGTGTGTGAAATAAATCATCATGAGGCTGCATGGAGCCAAGGACAGCTGTGGACCCAACAAAAACTGTAAACTTACTTAAAATGGAATCTTTCCTGCAACTGGATGGTGTGCTCCTTGCACATAGCATGAACTTTGTAGATGATAGAGTCATGCGGCAGTGTCAAAAGGTTGGACACACCTTCATGGCATTTGGACTTAAGTCATACATACCTTTGGGTTGAGGGTGTGTGTGTGTGTGTGCAGGGACCTTCAGGGGCTCTGATCCCTGGAACTGGAGTTAAAGGCAGCTGTTTCTGCTGCTGACTAGCATGCTGTAAGTTAGCTGTCCTGTGAGCTTTGGGGCGATTTTCCTGCCTCTGCCTCTATCTTACCAGAGGAGGAGTGCTGGGATTAGAGATATACGCCACCACACCTGGCTTTTTTTTTTTTTAAATATGGGCCCTAAGGATTGAACTTAGATGTTCAGACTCACACATCTGATACTTTAACCTGCTGGGCCATCTCTTGGCCCCCGATCTTTTGATTTTAATCCTAATGCTTTCTACACTACCCCTGGTTATCCCAAACACATCCTTAAAATCACGTTGTCGTATGCTGTCTCCACCACTGCTTCCTTTCATGTGGAAGGCTGAAGGCCCCCTATTCATTTTTCATAAGCATAACTCAGGCATCTCATCTAAAAGAACGCATTCATTCCACACGTCTGTTTACTTATACACAGATGTGTATTTTCAATTTCTTCCTTTCCGGTTCAGAAAGCTGCTGGTAATAAATTTTCATTAAAGTAGTACAAGATCGGAAAACGAAATGAGCCTCAACACATTTTCTTAAGTAATCAACCAAAACCTAAAGTGGGAGCCAATTATGGCCCTCGGGATCCGCCCTGGCTCCTTCAAATGCAGTTATTCTGGGGGTGGGAGAGCTGGGGTGGGGGCTGTCCGCTTTCCTCAGTCTTTCCCACAGCCTCTTCTCCAGTTCCAACAGCCCCTCAACCCAAGACTTGAGACTTTGTGTCTTGTATTGATTTTGAAGATGCCAGTCAGAGGGAAATCAGACATAGGTGTGTGATGGAGGTGTTCTATGTGGCTCACACAGTATTCATAATTTTTATTTATCTACTTATATTTTTAATTTAGGAAAATGTAGTGTGTACGTGAGTGCATGTGTGTGCACGCGCATGCGCGCGCTTGTGTGTGTGTGTGTGTGTGTGTGTGTGTGTGTGTGTGATGTATTACGTTTATGGAGGCCAGAGGACAACTCTTGGGACTGAGTTCTTTCCTTCCACTATATGGGTCCGTCCCAGGGTTTGAACTCAGGTCATCAGGCTTGGCAGCAAGTGCCTTTACCTGCTGAGCCATCTTGTCTGCCCTGTTCACAATTTTGAAAGGTTGTTAGTCAATAATTAAAATTCTTGCCTAGCCATTTGTATTCACAGCTTCTCTGGGCAGCTCTGGTCTGGTTCCCATGTGGCATAGCTTCGCTGAGCTGCAGCTGTCCCTCTAGGAGAGCACGGGGCAGGTTCTGGCAGCTGGACTACTAGGGCAGTTCCCAGCCAGGGTCTTTTGTTGCATCTGAGTTTCCCATGGGGGCTCTGAGAAGAAGAGGGATTTCCAAGCATCCTCCTCTTCCCGCCCCCTGCCCCTCAGCTCCAGCTGCCAGATTCCACTCTGTCTTTGAGCTACAAGGCAGGGAGTGTCAGTGCCAGTTTGCCCGAGATTCAGGTGCCATAGCAGCAGGTGACAATGCAGCCTAGAGATGCGCAATCCATTTCTGCCTCACAGGATGGGGGCAGAGCGGAAGCAGGTAGGCTGTGGGAGAAAACATAGGAGGGCATTTTCCTGACTCTAGGGGGGCACCTTCCTCAGCTTGTGTTTGAGTCAACATGGAGTGGGCTTGGCTGCCGGCTGCGTACAAGACGCTGTGCTGGACTCAAGAGTCAAGAGCACACAGACAGGCTACAGGGACCTAGGGAGGGTGCGGGAGTCTGCTGGAGTCCAGCTCCAATCTGTCAAAAGGTTCTTGTGGGGAGAGGAGAGGAATGAGGAAATGATAGAAAGATAGATGGAGATGATAAGAAAGACAGAGACACAGGATAGCTTCAGGAGGGCCCTGGGTTTATTCCAAAGGGCTTTTTATACAACACCAAGGGGAGAGGCAAAAGACCTCCCCCTATCAAGATCAAAGCACAATGCACAGCCAAGTGTAGACCCTTCAAAACACCCGGTGACCATGCTCGTGGCCAAATCATCCCATTATGCAGCCCTGCTGGGTAAAGCAAGCTCAGATTCTCTGACCTTGAGTAAGGTCTCACTAGGGAGCCTCTGTGGGGCCCCACAAATTCCCCCTTCTTTTTTTTTTTTTTTTTTTTTTTTTTGGTTTTTTTGAGACAGGGTTTCTCTGTGTAGCTTTGCGCCTTTCCTGGAACTCGCTCTGGAGACCAGGCTGGCCTCGAACTCACAGAGATCCGCCTGGCTCTGCCTCCCGAGTGCTGGGATTAAAGGCGTGCGCCACCATTGCCCAGCCGTGCGCCACCACCGCCCGGCAAATTCCCCCTTCTTAATATAAAGTTTCAAGTGCGGGTACAGAGCTTAACTCTATGTAACTCTGAATCAGCTTTCCATTAAGAGTTTGCAAGTAGCTGGAATAATTATAGCAATACTCCTGCTCCTTAAGGCTGCTATACCTCCTAATAAAGGAGTAGAGGATGATAACAATGGAATGGCCTTTTTGAATGTGTCTAAGATGACTACATCAGCTTTAGTGCACCAAGCCCTTTTTAAATCAATAATCTCCTGAAGCAATTGCATCAAATAAATCAGTAAACTCCTGATGCAACTGCATCAAATATAAGGACTCCCTAGCATCACCATTAACATTAACAGGTTAACATCATAATTCTAGCATGAATAGTACTATAATTACAATTCTCACAAACTTACATCCAAAAGCAAACTCTTAATAGAACTATTTACACTTCATAAACTTTAGCAAACATCCAAAAGCAATTTCTTAATAGAACTATTTACATTTTCTACTAACAAAACATAGGGTACATTAATACAGGCTAACGTTATCCATACAAAGAACAAGAAAATGCTTTTTTTTTTTCAAAAAAATTAGACTGGGGAATATTAACCCCCCTTTTCCTTATAACTTTTAATCTGCATCTTCAGCCTGGGTACAAAAACAAATTTCTCCATTTCTACACAAAGCAGTTTGTGAATCACCTCAGTTAATAAAACGTATATGCATACACAAAACAGTTTCATTTTTGAAGTCTGAAAGTTCAAAAAATCAGTTCTAATACCAGTCTTAATGTTCCACTGAAAGCTCAAGATCAGGGCCTGGCTCATCAACTGCCCCAAAGTCTTTGTATAGCTGTCCAAATCCTAATGAATCTGAAGCAAAAGTTCCAAATACAAAAGGTCTCATTACCAAAACTTTGCAGTTCCTTTGCATGCAGCAACCCAGTTCAAACAAGAATCTCTGAAATTTCCCTCTCAGCTACAGAGGCACTTTACAGTAGCTTTCCCTTAGGAAATCTGCTCCAGGGCAAAGGTTGTGTCACCTTCACCAAAGCTGAGCCACTGCAGACCTCTTTGAAAGAGTTCTCCATGCAGCCAGCATGAACCAGGAAGTCATCTCTTAAAGGAGCCATGCATTTAAAGGAGCCATGCATTTGTTTGCAGTCAGCAAACAGAAACTGTGTGGCTTTAGCTGCTAACTCTGCCCCATTAGGGCTCTTACAGTCCTGGTCCATCTGTGCCTCCCATCTCTGGCCTGCCAGTCTAGAGACCCCCGTATCCTGGGGACCGAGGGCTTTCAATCACCTCCACCACAGGGGTTCCAAAGAGGAAACCCAGCTGCTGGCACTGGCTCTCTGGGTGTCTACTGCCTGTGGCTCAATGATGCCCCATGATCTCAGCCATGCTGATGCTGCGTCTCCTGCTGCTGCTGCTGCTGCTTGTGGTGGGGGCTTCTGAAGCCACTACTTGCTCTCAGACTGCTAAGTTCACAGTGGCTGCTTGGTCCTGGATGCTGCCTTCTGTGTCCCAAGTCCCACGCCAGGGAAAACCTGATCTTACCCTAAGTTACTTTTTATTAAACCTTCACCATCTCCCTATACCTAAAGCCTATATTTCTCAAACCTCACCAAAACATTTATGACTTACTTATATACAACTTTAGACCTAACTTAGTAGATAGATAGATATAGAGATACTTGCTGCAGCCTTACTTCTACTATTACCCTGTTCTTTATTTACAGTTTTACTCTCAAAGAAAAGAATATCACCGTGCTCCAATTAATTCTGAGCATGCCCACTTAACCTGCAGTATTCCTTCTCTTTTATCCTTCGTACCCAAGTTCCACGTCTGGGTGCCATGTATGGGAGTCCAACTCTGACCTGTTGAAGGGTTCTTGTGGGGAGGAGAGAGGAATGAGGAAATTGTAGATAGAAAGATAGATGGAGACACAGGATAGCTTCAGGAGGGCCCTGGGTCAATACTCAGTCACCTCGAGTTTTATTCCAAAGGGCTTTTTATACACTACCAAGGGGAGAGGCAAAAGACCTCCCTGTATCAAGATCAAAGCACAATGTACAGTCAAGTGTAGACCCTTCAAAACATGTGGTAACCACACCTGTGGCTAAATCATCCTATTATGCAGCCCTGCTGGGTAAAGCAAGCTCAGATTCTCTGACCTTGAGTAAGGTCTCACTAGGGAGCCTCTGTGGGCACCCACAGGAGGCAGGCTCCCTGTCAACCTGATGGCAGATTGAGGGAGGCTTCTGCCTGAGGAGGGGCAGTTCAGGAGGTGGGGAGCAAGGCACAGCAGAGTGGTGAGTACTCAGCTTATGCCAAGGCAAGGAAGAGCAGCACATGCCTCTGAGCATGTCCAGTTCTCCTGACTCTCCCCTGGCCTCTGAGCAGGTCCAGTTCTCCTGGCTCTCCCCTGGCCTCTGAGCATGTCCAGTTCTCCTGGCTCTTCCCTGGCCTCTGAGCAGGTCCAGTTCTCCTGGCTCTCCCCTGGCCTCTGAGCAGGTCCAGTTCTCCTGGCTCTCCCCTGGCCTCTGAGCAGGTCCAGTTCTCCTGGCTCTCCCCTGGCCTCTGAGCAGGTCCAGTTCTCCTGGCTCTCCCCTGGCCTCTGAGCAGGTCCAGTTCTCCTGGCTCTCCCCTGGCCTCTGAGCAGGTCCAGTTCTCCTGGCTCTCCCCTGGCTTCTTGGTGAGAAGTGTCACGTGTTTGCTTAGCAAATCCACTACACCATGGTTCAGCATCAGGAATGGAGACTGTCATGCTACTGTCAAAGGCAGGGTGGGGTTCTCCGATGGCTTACCCAAGCCCACCTCACTCTCAGGCAAAGCTAGAGTATTAGAACTCAAGTCTTTGGACACCTCTGCTCATTTTCTTTCCACTTTGCCTTTGGTACATCATAGAGTCCTTCTAGCTTTAAAGAGGAACCGGAGAGACACCCCAGATAAGCCTGGCCAGGTTTACAGTTAGCAAGGTTGGTGCCTGAAGGATATGTAGATGCAGCCAAGGGACCTGCTCAGGGAAGGTTCTATAGATCAGGTTGCAAAGGGTCGGGGGGCACAGATGAGCTGGGTTTTTCCAAAGTGTCCATTTTATCCTAAAAGGCTGTGAAGGGCCTGTGTAGGTGGATGCCATGACCAACATGTGCCACTAGGTGGTGCTCAGATGCCGGCCCAGGCAGGTAACAGGAGCGTTGGGCTTCACTCAGGAAAACTAGTGGAGTCCAGTGCCTCAAACACTTGCATTCATGGCCAGGTGACACCTCTTGGGATTGGCCACAGGTCTTTATGGCCAACCAGCCCTGAAGTAAAATAGCCTTCCGTCTCTAGGTGCCCTGGGGATAATCCCAAAATCAAACTGTCACATGGGTGGGATCTCACATGGGACCGGACACCGGGAATTATTTGTACATGCCAAGTCATTAGCAGAGTGGCCAAATATTTGCTGAGTGCTTTCCGGGATCACTGAGGACAGGAAGGTGGCCAGTGGTGATTGAGTCGGAGAGGTGGACGCTGGAGGAGCGCAGGGGGCAGGATATGGAGGATGTGAGAGAGCTGTGTGGAGGAGGACTTGCTGTACACGTCACAGCCACAGAGGAAGCACAGATGATGGGCAAGAACCCATGCAAAGGCCTTGAGGTGGCAGGGAGCAGACTGGCCCAGGAGTCCTGAGGAGAGATGAGGCTGGGAGATGAGTAGGCCCCTTACAGGGACTCAGCGTGGAAAGGAACACTCGAAAAGCTTGACAAGCCTTAGACCAAGAGCATTCGAAGCTCTCCAGAAGCAGAACCTGAGAGCTAGAGCATGGCCTGGCTGCCAGGGGCCTGGAGGGTAGGTCCTTCACACTGACTTCACTGTCCTTCACGTGGCAGGGCCTTGCCAGGCCCAGTCCTTCTAGGGGTCACTGGACCCCAGTGACTGATAGTGACTTGTGTACACAGGAGTCAGTCCTGGGGTGCAGATATGAACAGCCAGAGCAGGGGGACGGATGCAGGCCTCCTGGGGGCTAGAGGCGGTCCAGATGGTCTCAGCTCTGCAAGTCGTTTTGAACTCTGGCCTAGCTGTTTAAGATGTGTGGATGAAGCCTGTCCCCAGAAGTACAGTGTGTGGGGAGGGGTTAATATCCTCAGTCTAGGTGTGTACACAGACTGGGCAGCAGGGCTTTGAGATCCTCGGACACAGGCCCTTGGAAGAGACAGTGATGTGTGGAGGAGGGCTGGATCGGCCAGCTTCATCCAGAGTGACCCTCAGGAGGCCTGGGCAATTTCTCTTCTGTAAAAGCAGTGGAGGTCTCACCCTTGCAAAGTTAGCGATCATACTGTGTGTCTTCTGAGATGCAGACCAGAGGCTCCAGGCATCTTCAGAGGCCCTGAGTGCGTCTGCTGACCCGGGCCTTCCCTTCCTTCTCCCTCGTGGCCTTGTGGAACTCGCCTGCAAGGGAGGCCGTGGGATGTGGAGTCCCAGCCAGGTCTCTCTCCAGCCTGACTGCTTGGTTTCCCCTACAGTCTGGAATTGCAAAGTTCCCTTTTGTGCGGCAATGCATGTGATTTGTTTTCTAACGGGTGATGTTTGAGGTTCCTTTATGAAGGCTCTTCACATCTGGCATTCAAAGAAAATAATCAGTTTAGACTATCAGGCCAGATAGCAGCTTGGATGAAATTTGGGCCTACTTTCCAGTCAAACAGCGCCTCCCAGCTCCACAGGCTCCCGCCTGCTCCCTCCTTCTCTTCTTGTGACCCTTTTATCTCTGCGGGAGCCCAGACTAGAAAGAGGGTTCTGGGAACGTGGTGTGTTTCTCATTAAGTTTCTGCCGCATAAAAGTCATGTGACTCAAGGCTCCCTTCCCCCTCTTCTTCACCCCATGAATCTACAATAACTCCCAATGTTTAGATTTGATTTGATTTGAGATGACTGCAAACCCACAATCTTGTTGATCTGAAATTAGAAAAATCCAAAACCGAAAACCAGTTTCCAGTTGCTGGTATGCTTTGGGTGGTGAAACAGGGGAAGCCCCGCCCCACTACTCACCTATCCCTGCACCCCCACTCCCCAGAGCCACCCCCAACCCCCACCCCGGCAAAAAAAGTCAGCCATCTGCCAAAGCCCAAGCGGCCCCTTGCCCCCCTCTTCCTACATCTTTAAATATCTTTCTTTGAAAGGTGAAGCTGTGATTGGGAAAACTGTTGCTGGGTGGGCCCAGGCTTCTGAGGGAACCCCGGGGCCGGGAGGAGGGAAGCTAAGGAGGCCCCCCACCTGTAACAGCTGCTCCTATCCATTGCTTCTGGGAGAAGTGACACTGATCCCAGTGGCCTGTGGCAATGGATGGGGTGTGCATGGCCTGGGTCAAGGGTCCCAGCAACTGTTAACTGTCTCCTCTCTCCTCTCCTGAAAGCTCTGTCCTGCCTATGAACAGAAAACCACCGCTTTGGGCACCAGAGGCCGGAAATAGACTGGGAGCTTCCCGCCTAAGGCCAAGGCCTGTGAGGGCACCTGTGCAGGTGAGCTTGTAGCTGGTGCAGATGGGTGGGAGGGTCTGCTCACCTGATGCCCTGGAGCACCACTGCTACTGGCTGCTTCTCCCTGGGCCTCTTGCTTGATCTTGAGCAGCTTGATCTTGAGGCCCCCCTGCTTTGCCTGAAAACAACCAGGTCCTTAGAACTCGTGGGTGGGTCAGTCCGCAGAGTCTGGGCCTTGGGTGGCTGTCTCAAAGCCCGACTTTCCCCTGGTTTTTTCCTTCCCTTACCATCCTGGGGTAGCATGTTGCTCTCCTTTTCCAGGCATTCATAGCAGTCTTTGGGATCCAATGCCCCCACCCCCCGTCCCCTTTGGGCTTCAGTTCTGGGCAGTGGAACAGAAGCTGGGAGCAGAGTGTGGTCTCTCGTTTCAGTTCCCATGAGACACTGGGCCAGTCCCTTCCATTCTGTGCACTTGTTCCTGCCTTCGTGATTGCAAGTGGATCTGAGATTTGCTGAACTTCTTTCTAGGGTCAGAAGACTCCTGGCTTCCGAGGCTTTTTAAAAGGAAAACACTAAATTTACTTATTTGTATTTTTATTATAGATGGGGATGTACATGCCACAGCATTCAAAGGTCAACTTACCGTGGTTGGTTCTCTCCTTCCACCATGTAGGTTCTGGGGGTCAAACTCAGGTCCTCAGCCTTGGCAGCAGGCGCCTTCACCTGCTAGGCCATCCTGCTGCCCCGTTTGTTTGTTTTGAGGCAAGTCTCATGTAGCTCAGGCTGGCCTTGAACTTATTATATAGCTGAGGAGGACAGTGAACTCCTGCTCTTCCTGCCTCTGCCTCCTGAGTGCTGGGGTTACAGGTGTGCACCAGCATGTGGTCATATGTGGTGCAGGATTACAGGTGTGCACCAGCATGTGGTCATATGTGGTGCTGGGATTACAGGTGTGCACCAGCATGTGGTCATATGTGGTGCAGGATTACAGGTGTGTGCACCGGCATGTGGTCATATGTGGTGCAGGATTACAGGTGTGCACCAGCATGTGGTCATATGTGGTGCTGGGATTACAGGTGTGTGCCAGCATGTGGTTGTATGTGGTGTTGGAAAGTAAACTAGGGCTTTACTCACAGTAGGTGAGCTCTGTATCAACTGAGCCACACCCCTCCAAGTCCACGCTTGTTTTCCACACCCCCACACCCAGTCCACACTTGTTTTCTCAAACACAATTTTGTTGGACCCCGGCCACACTTGTTCTGTCAACTATTGTCACCTTGATGGAGTGAGCAGTTGCAGCAGTGTGCACAAGGCCAACAGAGCTTACTGGTCCTCTCTGGCCCTTTGCAGACCACACTGCCAACTCCGGTCTGTGGTTCGTCGGAGTGGAGTGAGACAGAGTTTTCCCGGAGCTGCAGATATTCTGTTTTCTGGAACAAGATCCTGGTGACTGGCTTTGAGAAGTGCAAAGGAGGTTGTTCCTGGACCCTGGCCTGTGAGCAGGACTCTGTGTGGTCCGATGCAAGCCTGTACTTGAGGGAAGCTCCTTCCCGCACTGTTCCGGAAGCTGGAACCTGTGAGCACAGACCTGTTCACCTCTTTCTGAACATCTTCTTTCAGTTTATAGATTAGCCACCATTTTCCTGTCTTTGTGGATGAGGAAAGAGAAACGTAAGTTCTCAGTGTCTTTTCCTATAGGACACTAACACCTCAGTCAGGGCCCCACCCTTCTGACTTCATTTAGTTTTAATTACCTCCTGTTGACCTTGTCTCAATTGAGGACACCAGCGTGTGGAATTTGGTGAGACATAGTTCAGTCCATAATATCATCCACATCCTCTTTTCAGAGGACTTTCCAGTTGTTCCCTGACATGGGGAAATGATGACATAGGGCAGTAGGAAGGCAGGTGCCCACTCTGGGGCTTAGGCAGGTTCACCAGAAGCAAATGCTGAAAGGAGACACCTCTCCCCGTCCCCGTTTGTGTGTGTGTGTGTGTGTATGTGTGTGTGTGTGTGTGTGTGTGTGTGTGTGTGCGCGCGCGCGCGCATATGATCAGAGGACAAACCCAAGAGTCTTTCCTTAGAATGGTCCACTGTGTTTATTTAAGACAGGGTCTCTCACTGGGACTCGGAGTTCATAGTTAGGCTAGCCTGGCGGGCCACGGAGCCCAGGACTTGCCTGTTTCACCTTCCCAGCACGGAGGTTGCAAGCACCGTCACGCCTAGCTTTTTTTTTTTTTAAATAAATATGTATTCTGGGGATTACACTCACGAATTAGCTGAGCTATCTCCCCAGCCTGTGAGAGGCCTCTGTGTAAATGTGGGGCTGAGGCTGCTCCCTAGAACGTTGACATGGATATAGGGCAGGCCAGGGTGAGAGCTGGGCCACAGTTCTCCAGGCTTCACCCTGACTCTTCACGGGGGCCGGCAGTGCAGCGACAGCTTAAAGGCTCATGTACCACATCTCGCTAAGGGTGGTCTTGAGGGGACATATCTCCAGTCTCCACAGGTGTGGGAGCTGCTGTAGGAGCCCAAGGGCTTTCCCCAAAGGAGAAGAAGATACAGAGGGCAGAGACCAGGGGAGGTGGTGTAGCACCTGCACATGGGGCTGGAAGAATTACCTCCTTTTCTAGTTGCTGTGACAAGAAGCCGCTGGTGGGGGGAGGGGACACAGCTCACCATGGTGGCAGGAGCAGAGGTGATGTCACATCCATGCAGGGAGCAGGGAGAGATGCTCTCTGGGGCTCAGCACACTTCCCCTTTGGTATTCAGTACGGAGCTTCATCCGGTCCACAGAATATGCTGCTGGTATTCGGAGTGAGTCTCACTCTCTTGACTAGCCTAACTTGGAAAGCACAGGCACTCTCCGAGGTGATCCTACATCCCGTGGACTTGACAATAGTACTGTCACAGAGGTGTCTGGGCGAAGCCTTCAATGTTAAAGTCTGAGCCAGTGGCAAAGTGTGCATCTGAGACTCCCTAGGCTCAAGTCGCTGACAGAGTCAGGCACACATGTGAGAATATTCTGCTCTTGGAGGTCATCTGAGGAAGGGACTAGATCTTTTGTGTTTTGTCGTGGTTGTGCTTTGATAATTTCATATGTGCATATAATTAAATATGGCCGTATATACCCCTACTTTCCCCAGCCAACTCCCTCCAAATCCCCTCCCACATCTACCTCTCAGTTTTATTTCCTCCTCTTCTTCCTCACTGTGTACAGTTAGTGCTGCCTGTATGTGTGAGGAGGAGGGACCATCTACTACAACATGGGGAATCTTCCCGCAGCCAACCTCTCAAAGACTGACTCTCCCTCCCTGGGTGCTGTCAGTCACCAAAAGCCCCTCAGTGAGGGGTGGGTCCTTGTGAGTTCCCTCCATCCATGCCTGGATTTTGGTTGGCTTGCTCACGGGCGGGTAACCACAGCTGCAATGAGTTCTGAGTGCCAGTCATGTGATGTGCAAAGACAGCATTTCCGTTTTCCTCCCCATCCTCTGGCTTACTTCCTCTCTGCTTCCTCCTCTGTGATGTTCCCTGAACCTTTGGATTTGGACTGAGCACTCACAGTCACTTAGCTCACCCTTGGACCAGTTGTGAGCCTCTGCAGTGGCTATTGCCACTGTAAAAGGAAACTTCTCGAGCACAGTTGAGGGCAGGCCAGTAGCTTCTGGGTACTCTTCCATCCCTACACCAGCAGACAGTAGATGCTCAGGCTGCAGGGCTGCTTGGAGAGCAGGCCACGAGATGCCCAGATGGGGCCAGAGCAATAGGTAGAATCAGGTGTAGCTGGCCTCTGCTCTGGGCCTCTCCCAGATAGGCACCCTGCCACTGCCAGGGGTGCAGTGAGGAGGCATCTCCTGGGGGTGCAGTGAGCAGTCATTTTTGGGGGGTGCAGTGAGGAGTCATCTTCCAGGGGCACAGTAAGAAACCATCTCCCAGGGATGCAGTGAGGAGCCATCTCCCAGGGGCACAGTAAGAAGCCATCTCCTGGGGTGCAGTGAGCAGTCATCTCCTTGGGTACAGTGAGCAGTCATTTCCTGGGGTGCAGTGAGCAGTCATCTCCTTGGGTGCAGTGAGGAGCCATCCCCTGGGGTTCAGTGAGGAGCCATTTCTATGGGGTTCAGTGAGGAGCCATTTCTGTGGGGTGCAGTGAGCAGTCATCTCCTTGGGTGCAGTGAGGAGCCATTTCCGTGGGGTGCAGTGAACAGTCATCTCCTTGGGTGCAGTGAGCAGTCATCTCCTTGGGTCCAGTGAGGAGCCATTTCCGTGGGGTGCAGTGAGGAGCCATTTCCGTGGGGTGCAGTGAGCAGTCATCTCCTTGGGTGCAGTGAGCAGTCATCTCCTTGGGTGCAGTGAGGAGCCATTTCCATGGGGTGCAGTGAGCAGTCTTCTCCTGGGGTGCAGTGAGCAGTCATCTCCTTGGGTGCAGTGAGGAGCCATCTCCTTGGGTGCAGTGAACAAGCAGGATGCTGAGATGCTGGTGTAGATGTAAACCTCCCCCTCCCTTTGGGAAATCCAAACTGAAAAACTATTAGAAATAATGAGAGTTCAGTAAGGCAGCCAGCTACAAAATAAATGTGCAAAAATCAATACCTTTCCTATGTCCAACAGTAACCACTTAGAAAAAAAAATAATGGAAAAGAAAGATCTCATTCGCAATAAAAATGGGAGATATTTATCACCCCAAGCAAACGTCCAGGAGGAGATGTGTGTAACTGTCTCCCCATTTGTCCAGGCATCCTCCTGAGGTGGGGAAGAGTAGCTAGAGGATGCAGTGTGGATGCTTGCCTGGCCTCTAGGCTTCAGGCCTCTGCACAGTGGCGCGTGGGTGTGTGGGTGCTGTCTGCATTTCCAAGGCTCATTTGGTGGGTTGCTTTGGCTTTTCTGAGGAGGAACAAGTTCTAGTCAGTTACCAGGTTACTGGGCATACTGCTTCCTCATGTAGTTTCACTGTGTGTGTGTGTGTGCGTGTGCGTGTGCGTGTGTGTGTGTGTGTGTGTGTGTGTGTGTGTGTGTGCATGCACGTGTGAAGCCCAGAGGGGTCGATCTTAGGTGTTCCTCAGGTGCCATCATCATGTTTAAACTATTGTTTTTGAAACAGGGTGTCTCACTGGCCTGAACTCCCTGGTGAGGCCGGGCTGGCGGCCAGAGTGCCCAGGGACCTGCCTGTCTTCACCTCCCCAGCACTGGGATTACAAGCGTGCACCAACACACCTGGATTTTTCATGTGGGTTTTGCCTCAGCATAGATTTAGTTTGCAGTTCTCTTGTTTGTGCACAACTTTTCAAGGAGAACTGCAAAATGATATATCTCTTACAAAGACGGTGATTTTTATTTCTTTAATAATCAGGCAGCAACGAATCAGTGTTTCTGTAAGGACTGAGTGTTTGGAATGGTTGTACGTTCTCCAGGGAGTGTAGACCTCGCTCGCTCTCTTTGCTGGGCTACACTGCCTGCCTCTCCCTGTCAGTGTTTGAATCTGCCTTCCCAGTCCTTGTCTCGGAGGGAGGGAGAAGGCTTTCTGTGGCTCAGTTTGAGTCCGTCATGTTGGAGAAGGCACAGCAGGAACATGAGGCTACTGGCCATATGGTGTCCGCAGTCAGGGAACCAGGAGAGCTGGATGCAGGCACGCAGGCACGCAGCTCATTCTCTTCTCACTGTCTGGGATCCCAGCCCACGGGGTGGTGCCGCTCATATTCAAGGTGAGTCTTTCCTCCCCAGTTAATTCAATTGGGAAATTTCTTCTTAGACATGCCCCAAGCCTTGTCTCCAAGGTCATTCTGGATCCTGACATATTGACAATCAACATTAACAGTTGCAGTAGGTAGATCAGTTGCCTATTGCTCCAAAACATGCTGAGTAACAATCACAGCACCAAGGATGCATGTAGGGTGCTGGCTGTGTGGTTCTGCCGATGCTCCCTGGGCATCACTGGTGGGTTCGGCTAGCTATCACTAATCTAGACTGCTCTTTTTACATAGCCATGTGTACAGCATGAACTCATGGTCATAAAACATAGTGTGCATGGAACAGCATGCTTTTTTGTCTCGCGAGTCTTCACTGGACTTGGGTTTTGGTTGGGTCCTATGTTCCATTCTGACTTTTATATCCCGTCACTCTCCCCACATCTCCTTCATTCCCTGCTTGTCCCTCTTCTCACACATGCCCAGCATTTCAATCTCAGTCCTTCTCAGGAGTATTCCTGCTTCTGCTGGGGTCTGTGGTGGACTCAAAGATAGAAATGCTCTCTGGTTCTCCATGAGGAATGTGATGGGGAACTAAAGCGAAAGTAGTAACTTTGGCTTTCAGAGAACACTAACTTCCCTGGAGAATTGGAATCCTGCTGCAGATGACTTTGGACCCAAATTATGACTGCCCAGGATCCAGACTGTGGGTCTACACTGCCTGAATTTGCAAGTCTCTACAACCTTGATTGCTGTGGGATGTTCTGTATGGCAAATGTGTTGCTCTGATTGGTCAATAAATAAATCACTGATTGGCCAGTGGCTAGGCAGGAAGTATAGGCGGGACAAGGAGGAGAATAAAGCTGGGAAGTGGAAGGCTAAGAGGGAGACACTGCCAGCCGCCATGATGACAAGCCGCATGTGAAGATGCCGGTAAGCCACGAGTCATGTGGCAAGGTATAGATTAATGGAAATGGATTAATTTAAGCTGTAAGAACAGTTAGCAAGAAGCCTGCCACGGCCATACAGTTTGTAAGCAATATAAGTCTCTGTGTTTACTTGGTCGGGTTTGAGCGGCTGTGGGACTGGCGGGTGTCAGAGATTTGTCCTGACTGTGGGCCAGGCAGGAAAACTCTAGCTACACTTGATCTCTTTCTATAGGCACACACACACACACACACACACACACACACACACACACACACACACAGAGCCACCCACTGCAGGAAGATGATTCAGCCCTTGATGACACATGGGATGGCACACTACAGTGGAGCTGGAAGTTCTCGCTGCTTACTGACATGATAGCTACTTTAATGTTATTGCATAGCCTGTCACATACCTGTGGGGGTGCTGACTTAAACAAACCTACTGCCAGGTGGATAAAAATCCCACACATACAATTATATATAATGTGTGATGCTGTGTCAGTTCCATGGAGATACCATAACAGCTCTGTGCATGATAATGTATAGATCCCATGTACAACACTGTAACTATTCTGTGAGTGATACTGTATCAAGTCCATTCAAGTCACTGTAATAATTCCATACATGATACTATATCCATTCCATGCATGATACTCTAATAATTTCTATACTTGATACTGTATTGATTCTGTACATGACATGGTATCAATTCCATGTATGACACTGTACTTATTCTATATGGGACACTGTAGTGATTCTGTGCCTGATACTATAACGATGGTAAGAGACCATGCCACTGGTTTTTGTATTTATTGTCCTGTATTGGTTACTTTTGTTTTAGAGTATTCTACTTACGAATACAAGTTTATTTGGAGCTAGAGAGATGGCTCAGCAGTTAGGAGCACTTGCTGCTCTTGCAAAGGAGCCAAGTTTGGTTTCCAGTACCCACAACAGGCAGCTCACAGTCATCCAGCTCTAGGGAATCCAATCTTGTGGCACCTGCACTCCAGTGCACATATCCCCGTCCATACACATAACTAATAAAAGTAAAACAAACTTCAAAAAGAGGAGAGAGAACTGGCTTGGTGCTGCTGCAGGCTTGTAATCTCAACACCTGGGAGGCTGAGGCAGGATGACCAAGAATTTGAAGCCAGCCTGGACCTCACAAGACTCTGTCTCAAAATGTTTTTTGTTATTGTTTTGTTTTTTAAACAATAATCCTTGTTATGAGGGCAACAGTCTCATCCATCTTGTGGTCACTATGTCTCTGGATTGAATCAAGAGATCTGAACTCTGACCCCACACCATCTTGTGCCCTGTGAGTACTCTGTAGAACGACATCACCTTCTTGGGTCAAATCCTGTGAAGGCATTTGTGCTGGGATCCATCTGTGTCTGTAGACACATGGAGACTGTTTCCCGAAGGAAATGACTAACAGAGGGATGCTGGGTTCCTGGGCCTGTTGCTTGCTTTCTCCGAAATCATCTTTGTTCCACAGTTTTGTGAGCCCTCATAGGAAGAGAATACTGACACTGTCTCTGGTCTGTTCAAACTCTCTTTTTATATTTACTCCATGTCCTGTGTTGTCTCCAGAGACCTCTGGAGTGTTAACTATCAGCCAAGTCTCGCTTCCAGATAAGCAATCTGTGAGGGGTGTGTGTGTGTGTGTGTGTGTGTGTGTGTGTGTGTGTGTGTGTGTGAGAAGGATCAGGGGTAAGAAGTATGTTTGCCTGGCACAAACAGAGGATTTTTGTGGTTGGGGCACTCCAAAGATTTAGACCATCCTGAGTACTATTTATCCCTGGGCTCAGGTTCAGGGCAAACCCAGCAAGGATAGTAATAATGACTTAGGATGTTATAGGCCATTTTCTGCCATTTAACCTACTAGGATTTATACTTGGATCTTTGGGATGAGAGGGGGGAGGCTCTGGGAAGTCTGAGTGTTCTGCACAGGATGCTGCTGATGTGCACTGACTCCCAGGTGAGGATCTTGAGGGCTGACAGCAGCTGGGAGTGATGGAGGTGGTGTCCCACTGTGACACTAGCACTCCATGCTGGTACCTCAGCAGTTGAGTCAGGAAGGCTCTGTTGTCACACTGGTGACTCTACAGATGCTCTGAGGGGCTGTCCTTCTGTGATTTGACAGTGTGTTCTTGTGTCATGGGAACCTGTGGCTGGGGACTGTGAGTGCCTTTTGAAAGGTCTAAGGGCGGTGTGTGTGTAGTGCATATGTGTGTAGTGCATGTGCGTGTAGTACATGTGTGTTCACTCATGTGCACATGCCCTTGGTCATGCACTATGACAGTGGATGTCAGAGGTTGACTTTGAGTATCATCTATTACTCTACTGTGGTGATATATTGTTTCTCCCAATATATTGTGCACCCTACATTATTTTTAAGATTATTTATTATTATTATTATTTATTATTATGTTTTTCAAGACAGGGTTTCTCTGTGTAGCTTTGGAGCTGTCCTGGAACTTGCTTTGTAGACCAGGCTGGCCTCGAACTCATAGAGATCCACCTGCTTCTGCCTCCTAAGTGCTGGGATTAAAGGTATGTGTCACTAACACCCAGCTTATTTTTATTTTTTATTTTTTAAAAAGGGTATATGTGTTTGTCTGCATGTGAGTGAAGGTGCCTGTGAAGTCCAAAGAGGGCATTGGGTCCTGGAGCTGGATTTAGAGGCAATTGTGAGCCTCTTAATGTGGGTACTGAACGGAACTCGGGTCCTCTGCAGTGGCAACAAGAGACTGTAACTGCTGAGCCGTCCTGTAGCCCCTCTACCTTATTTTTTTGAGACAGGATCTCTCACTTGGCCTGGAGCTCACCATTTCTGCTAGCCTGGTTGGCCAGTGACCCCCAGGTGGAGAGGTGGAGAGAACCAGAAGAAAGTGCTGTCCATGTGTGCCTTTAATTCTGGAAACAAGCCTGCAGGGAGGTAGGCTTTCATTTAGAGAAGAGAAGCTGGGCGTGTGACTTCAATCCAAACCGCTCAGTTTAAGTCCCTTTCTCAATAGGAAATAAAGAAGAAAAAAGAGGAGATTGCTGGGGAACCAGGGTGGCAATTACGGTTCTCGTGGAGAAAGAACACAGCCTTTGCAGGTTATATCCAGCACCACAGACCCAGCAAGCCGCTGCTCGGCTAATTAAAACCAGGACGATGAGGTCAGAGTCGGGGCCCAGAGTGGGCTCGAGGGGCTGATAAAAGGTGAGATCAGGAGTGCATGCTCCACTTTAGTCAGATTCTCAGAGCCTTCCAAATAACATGGCTTGGTTTCAGCACTGTGCAGCTAGGGATAGCTAGGAACATGGCCCACCCAGTCATAACCTACTTAAAGCATCATTAAGAGGTGCTTTTGTGATTTTTGTGGGAGGAGCTCAACTGCACAGCTCTTGAGTGGAAACTTCGTAGATGACTGCCATGTAACGCTATCCAAAGACTGAACTGGTGCGTGTGGCTTCGGCCTTCCCAGAAATTGTGCTTTTTTTTTTCTCTCTCTCTAAATACATGGCCTCATGTAGCCCAGGCTTCAACTTGCTGTGTAACTAAGAATCACCTTTAGTAGATTTTCTTGCCTCTGAATGCTGGGTGTGACGGTAAGCTTAACTGTCTGCTTGATACAATCTGTCTCCTGGGAAGAGCCTCAGTAAGGGATGTCTAGATCAGGTTGGCTTGTGTGCATATCTGTACAGGGTTGTCTCCATTTCATTAACTGTGAGGGGAGATCCTGTCCGAGAGTGGGGAGCCACCTTTCTCTAATTTGGGGGCCTGGATTGTATGAGAATCGAGAAAGCTGGCTGAGCCACACGCAGCAGGCGCCGACTTCTCTCGGCTCTCGACCGTGGCATTGACCAGCTGCTTCCAACTCCTGCCACAGTGGCTTCCCTGCAGTGATGGACTGTAACCCGGGACTGTGGGCTAAAATAAACCCGTTCCCCCTTAAGTTTCCTTTTGTCGTCTATTTTCTCACAGTAACAGAAATGAAACGCAGGTGTGTGCCACCTACCATGCCCTTTTGCTTCGTTGGAGTTGTCGAACCCATGGAGATCTGGTCTCTGCCCCCCACCCCACCTCCAAGGTTAAAATTATGTGCCCACACCCAGCTGCCTGCCTGCCCGCCCTCCCTCCCTCCCTCCTTTCTTTCTCTTTTCTTTCTTTCTTTCTTTCTTTCTTTTTCTTTCTTTCTTTCTTTCTTTCTTTCTTTCTTTCTTTCTTTCTTTCATCCATTTTGTCTCGAAACTCACTATGTTTCCCAGATTGGCCTCAAACTCACAGCCATCCTGCTTCAACCTCCCAAGTGCTGGAACTATAGTCATGAGCCACCATGTCCAGCTCACAGACACTGCTGAAGGTAGTTTTGTCCATGTATGTGTATCTTCATTTCAAGAGCACACTTGTCCTTAGAAGCAGGCCCTGCTACCTCATCTTACAGACAAGGGAGGCAATTGGCTGATGTTATCTCATCTTACAGACAAGGGAGGCGATTGGCTGATGCTATCTCATCTTACAGACAAGGGAGGTGATTGGCTGGTGCTATCTCATCTTACAGACAAGGCGGGTGATTGGCTGATGCTATCTCATCTTACAGACAAGGGAGGTGATTGGCTGAGAACATACTGCTGAGTCAGTGGTCATCAGGAGGCAGCCTGTCCTGAAAGTCAGCCGGAACCACCGTGCATCCCCAGCTTCTGACATCTGTGCCCGGGACTGGCTTGTGTGGAATGCTGTTGTGTTTCCATCAACATCAGGGAGGAAATAAGGCTATTTTTGAAATGGCTGTCTGTCTGTACACACCCATAACCTAGCACTGTGTGGAGTGGAGACAGGAGGATCACTGGGGATGGCTGGCTTCCAGCCCAGGTTCAGTGAGAATCCCTGACTCAAAGGAATAAGGTGTGACAGGGCAGGTATGCCAGCTGGTTTTATGTCAACGTGACATAGGCTAGTGTCATTTTGCAAAAGGAACCTCAGTGGAGAAAATGTCCCTACTAGATTAGCCTGTGGGACTAATATTCTTGATTGATGATTGATGTGGGAGACATCACCTGTCTTAGCTAGTGTTTCTATCGCTGTGAAGAGACACCATGACCACAGCAACTCTTATAAAGAAAACATTTATTTCGGGCTGGCTTACAGTTTCAGGCATTTAGTCCATTATCTTCATGGCAGCATGCAGGCAGACACGGTGCTGGAGAAGGAGCTGAGAGTTCTACATCTTGATCCACAGGCAGCAGAAGCAGCTGTGACCCATACTGGCTATAGCTTGAGCATATGAGACCTCAAAGCCTGCCTCCAATGACACACTTCCTCTAACAAGGCCACACCCACTCCAACAAGGCCACACCCACTCCAACAAGGCCACACCCACACCTCCTGATAGTGCCACTCCCTATGGGTCAAGCATTCAAACACATGAGTCTATGGGGACCATACCTATTCAAATCACCACAGGTATGTGGTGCCCTCCTGGGCATGTGGCCCTGGATGGTATAAGAAATCAAGCTGAGCAAGCAATGGGGAACAAGTCAGTAAGCAGCATTCCTCTGTGTTCTCTGCATCAGCTCCTGCCTCTAGGTTCCTGCTCTACTTGAGTTCCTGCCCTGACTTCCTCAGTAATTGTGTGTTACCTGGAAGTGTAAGATAAAATAAACCCTTTCCTCCCCGAGTTGTTTGGTCATGTTTCTTAGCCATAGAAACCCTAAGACGGCAGAATACCTGCCATCTTCCTCTGACCACCAAATGTGCACAGGCACATGTGCATGTCACACACACGCACTCCCCCCCCCCCCCACACACACACACTGAGAGGCCATTCAGGGTTAGGTTTGGGCTGGTCATTCCTCATAGATAACATTATCTACTAAATTAACAAAAGCAAACAAGACATTCAACTTTCAAAACTACTTTCGAATATAATATTTCTTATTATTTCTTTGAGCATTTCATACGTGCATACAACCATGTTTTCAATAATATAAAATTATAATATAAAGGTATACTTTAAAAACCACAAAACCAAAGATTCTCTCAGGTCATCAACAGTGTTCTGAACTTTGCTTTTAAAATCTCATTTGCAGTCGGGCGGTGGTGGTGTACACCTTTAATCCCAGCACTCAGGAGAGCCAGGCAGATCTCTGTGAGTTTGAGGCCAGCCTGGGTTACAGAGTGAGTTCCAGGAAAGGTACAAAGCAACACAGAGAAACCCTGTCTCAAAAAACAAACAACAACAACAACAACAACAAAATTCTTTGCATAAGTTACATTTCTTCTGTTGCTCTGACAGAAGCAATTTAAGAAATGAAGGGTTGCTGTGAGCTCACCTTTAATTCTTGTGCCCAGGACACAGAAGCAGGTGGATCTCTGTGAATTTGAGGCTAGCTTAGTCTACCTAGTGAGTTCCAGGCTAACCAAGGCTACAAAGTGAGGCCCTGTCTCAAAAATAAAAATCAAAACAAAACAGAACCAGAAAAGGGAAGGATTTTTTATTTTTTTATTTTTATTTTTATTTTTTTTGGCCCACAGTTTACGGGTACAGTCCATCATCTTGGGACAGGAGTACAGGGCAGTTGTCACAGGGTGTCCACCATCAGGAAGAGAGGGAAGTGCTCAGCTCCCTTTCCCCTTTTCAGTCAGTCCAGGACCCCAGCCCACAGGATGGTGCCCAGGGTGAGCCTTTCCTTCTCAGTCAGTCCTCTGGAAGCATCCTCACAGACAGGCCAAGGATGTGCTTCCAAGCTTATCCAAAATCCAATCAAGTTGACAATCAAGATTAGGCTAAACACCATTCAAAGGAAAAAAATTCAAGGCCTTGGGGAGAAACCCAACAGGCAACCTCTGGGACAATGTGAACAAACGAGGATGCTACTGCATGGTGTACAAGAAACCATGAATGGTTTAAGATCAATATTGATTTAAGATTGAAGAAACCTTATCCCGGGTATCGATGATTCTCATCTTGATTGTCTCTCTGTTAACTCTGCTGATCGTTTTGTCAGGACGGAAAAAATGCCCAAGATCACAGCAACCCCCAGATTGTTTGTGCATTTCTCTTCAACTGTGTGTTTAATGTGCACTTTAAAAACAGAATAACACACTTTCTTGTTTTGTTTTTTCTAAAAAAGGTCCAGGGTTGGAGAGATGGCTCAGCTGTTAAGAGCACTGGCTGCTCCTGCAGAGGAGCCAGGTTGCTTCTCAACACCCACACGGCAGCTCACAACCATCTGTGACTCCAGTTCCAGGAGATCTGATGCCCTCTTTTGATCTCCTTGGGCACCAGGCACAGATGGTATACACAGACATACATGTAGGCAAATCACACATAAAATAAATAAATCTTTAAAAATTTCATTGTAAGAAAAGGCTCATAGAATGAGATGACTGTTCCTTGATTCATCTCTGCTATCTGATCCCTGCTCTTTAATTTAAAAAGTTATTATTTTAATTATTGAAAGGTTTACAACAAGCCCCCACGGTCAGGTGTGTTCGCATATGTCTGGCGGACACTTCCGCCTAGCCAGGTCCAGGTCAGGATAGCCATTTCCGGGTCAGGGCATCTCTCGTGACCAAGATTCGTGACGTCCCATTGGCCATGTACGTGCACAGCGTGGCCATGTGATCTATGCGCTTGCGTGTAGTAGTGACGCTGATCTGTCCACGCCCAGCCTTTAAAATCTGGCACCATGTTCCCGGTTCCTTCTTCTTCTCCACACACGTGCTTCCCGCAGGCCTGTTCACTCTCTGTCCCTTTACCTTTAATAAAACGCTTGTTAGCGGATTCTGTCGTGTTTCGTGGCATTTCCTTGCAGGGTAAGAACACAACGCAGCCGAAAAACAATTATGTGTACATATGTGTCTGTATATAGATATGTTTGAGTGTAAATGCAATGCCTGAGGAGCCCAGAAGAGGGCGTTGGATCTCCTGGAGCTGGAGTTACAGGTGGTTGTGAGCTGCCTGAGGAGGGTGCTGGGGACTGAACTCTGATCCTCTCAAGGTCGAAGGTAGTGACTCCTTGCTGGGCTCCCTGAGCCCTGTGCTCACAGGGCCTGCAAAGGATGACAGGTCTAGGTGACCCCCAACCATAAAATTGCTTTGTTCCTACTTCATAATTGTAATTTTGCTACTTTATGAATTGTAATCTAAATATCTGATATGCAATTCCTGTGGAAAGGCGTTCAACTCCTGTGGTAGTTGGAATGAAAATGTCTCCCATAGGTTCACAGGGAGTGGCACCATTAAGAGGCATTGCCTCATTGGAGTTTGTGTGTCCATGTTGGAGAAAGTGTGTCAATGGGGGCAGGCTTTGAGGTCTCAAATGCTCAGACCAGGCCCATCTCGTTCTTCCTACCACCTGCGGATCCAGATGTAGGACTCTCATCCCTCTCCAGCACCATGTCTGCCTGTGTGCCTCCATGCTTCCCACCATGACCATAATGGACTGAACCTCTGAACTGTGAGCCAGCCCCAATTAAATGCTTCCTTTATAAGCCTTGCCATGCTCATAGTGTCTCTTCACAGCAACAGAAACACTAACTAAGGCAGCCCCCAAGGGGGTCATTGATGGTTTTTAGCGGCGCTCTTACCCTGTGAGGGAAAGTCACAAAACATGACAGAATCCACTAACAAGAGTTTTATTCAGACAAGGAGAAAGGGATAGATGTGATCAGGCCTGCAGAAGGACACGTGTGAGAGAAGGGGGCCAGGGACATGGGGCCTGCCTTTTTAAGGGCCAGCCCACACCTGTGCACACAGGCCCACGTGGACTCCATGCATGCGCATAGATCACATGGTCACTCTGAGTGATTATGTGCCAGGCATGGGTTGCTTAGGACGTATGACCCGGAAATGACTAGGCAGAAATGACTAAGTGTCCCACCAGAGCATGCGTAACCATGGGGGCGTGGTTGGAATTCCTATCACTCATGACCCACATGTTGAGAACTGCTGATATGTCTATCTATCTATCTATCTATCTATCTATCTATCTATCTATCTATCTATCTATCTTCTATCTACCTGCCTATCTATCATCTATCTATCTAACTTC